TCTATATATATTAAACCTACACCTGGGTCACAAGTCCCAGTCACTGTTGAAGCTCCTCTCACTACAACGATGGACCCGACACACGCACCGTGAATACATTGAATGATGAGAGGTTTCGTCTCTATATATATTAAACCTACACCTGGGTCACAAGTCCCAGTCACTGTTGAAGCTCCTCTCACTACAACGATGGACCCGACACACGCACCGTGAATACATGGAATGATGAGAGGTTTCGTCTCGTCTCTTTCTTTAAAAAATACATACTCTCGACGTTTCGGTTACTTTACAGCAACCGTGATCACGGACAGACATCTCGTCTCGTAGTAAATGAGAAAATATTAGTTTCATTTTAATGAATACTCGCGAAAATCTTAATCTCATTAACAAAGAAAGTCTAGTTTCGATAAATTCAATTTACTTATACGAATTAACTTAAAAATCATTAAAAAAATCATTAAGGCCTGCTAAAAAATTAAAACAAAAATTTTATATATTAGTTTTTGTCCGCGACTTCGTCCGCGTTAATTTCGTCATTAGTAATATATGTATAGCTGACAGGGCGAACTATATTCCGACCTAGAGGCCGTAAATAACCAGATATTGGTATTTATTGATTATTTTTTTCATCTTCAATCGTATAAAAAGTATCCTATGTCCTTTCCATGTTCTAATCTATATCTCCACCAATCTTCATCCAAACCCGTACAGTTGTTGTTGAGTTATAAATAGTGTAACTAACACGAGTTTCACAATTATTATGTCAATATTAAAATATATTATAATTTGTTATGTCATTTGTGACATAATGAGATTTAGACTTTCGCTAGTATTTAAATGAAACTAATATTATTCATACTATTCGTATTTTATTATTTTAACTTCATACGACAACGTTTCGGTTACTTTACAACCGTGATCATTAAGACGAGATGTGAATGTATGATAATAAAAATACACGACGATATTAATACGAAAAAGATTAATTTCGTTTATGTCACTGTATACTTTACTTAGCGTTTGTTGTGTTCGGCCAAATAAGACCATTTGTGGATGATATATTCGTCGTATTTGACATATTTGCACAAATAACACACACACACGAATACGCGAAAACGCGTAAAGAATTTTTTTGCATGCCAAGTGTGGATGTCGTGTTTGTGATATTTGGACTACGTACAAATATGTGCCACTTAATAGAAAGCCGAAGAACGATCTTTTGCGTCATAATATGTTATAGGAAGCCTTATAAACTTATTTATGTAACTCAAAGGTCAAGTAAATGTTTATTTTTATTGCTATGATTGCATCACAAAAGAGGTTTAAAAAGAAACCTAATAAAAAAAAAAATCATAGATATTACTAGAGTAATATTGAGTAATTAATGGAAGAATTATGGATAAGCTTCGCCCGCGTGGAGTTCGGTTATATCGCGTTACCAAGAGAACCTTACAAAAGTCCGGGATAAAAACTATCCTATGTTCTTTCTCAAGGTCAACTCTATGTCTGTACTAAATTTCATTAAAATCAGTTCAGTGGTTTAGGCGTGAAAGCGTTACAGACAGACAGACAGAGTTACTTTCGCATTTATAATATTAGTAGGGATTATAGCAACACTTAAATAGAAAAAAACTCTAGATTTCTTAATAAAACTTAACAAAAATAATTAATTAGAAAAACAGCTAAATAAAATAGTAATTTTATATATCAATTTCATACCTCTCTTTTGTTTTAATTAGTATATAGAATTGTAATTTACAAACACCATCAAAATTTGTTCACCCTTATACACACAAGCAATACAAAATTCCTTATAAACTCTGCTATAAAAATCAAAACTTTATCGAAATCGTACAATTGTTTTAGTAATTAACTTTATATACTTACACGAGAGCTATTATGTACGGATGTTTGAAATCTCCAAGTGACACTACCGCAGCCATTTTTGATCACGATCGACCTTAAACAAATAAAATATAATAAAATTGTTTACTAATTAATTAAATCAGTGGTGTCCTAGTGGTTAAAAGGCCTCTCATGCATGAGTGAGGTTCGATTCTGGCAAGTACCAATGTGATTGTTCCAAGTCATATGTACTTTATAAGAGTATTTAGACATCACTGATTAATGCATTCCCAAAGAGGGTTGATTTCTGGCAGACGGCCGGTCGTAAAAATAATTAGTCAAGACTATGTATTACAACATTTTAGGCAGACCAAACAAAAATCAAATTATTTGATTTTTGTAAATTAAAACTACGAATTATATGTATATATATTTAATTCTTAACCCATACACGAGATGTACATAATATATAATTGGAAATTTTATTGATAAGCGCCATTTATTTTAAAACAGAAAAAATCTAACAATACATTTTTTTAAAATTTCAAATGATACAAATCAAAGGTCAATAAACTGTCAGATATATCACGCGATCGTAATATTAATTCAAAAAAAAACTAGTAATAACTAAATAAAGTACTGAATAAGTGTGAAGAATAATTACATTGAAAATATTTAGTTTAACACCATAAATATATATAATTACAAATTCCCGCCAAATCATTTTACCATATAAACTAACGCCATTACCTTAAAATAGAATTACTTTACATTTTACTTCTTTTACTTCTCGTAAGTAATATTAGCAAGAATAAAACATATTATCTATTTATATTTTTAATAATGAAGATTAAAATGATAGATTTTTTTTTAAATAATTCGTTAATCGGATAACAGTTCATAATATAATGCCAACTTCATACGTATTAAAAATAATATTCTTTTATATTATAAAATAATATCGGTTGTATGTAAAAATTGAGGGAGAACAACCCTTATCACTTAGGGGTATGAAAAATAGATGTTGGCCGATTTTCTGACATACTCAATATGCTCACAAAGTTTCATTAAAATGGATCCAGACGTTTCGGAGGAGTTCCCTGTCTAACACCGCGACATAAGAATTTGATATATACCTATGTAAGTTTAGGTACCAATAAAAATATTAACAGTCCGTGCAATAATTTCGTTTAACAATGTAATAAACGAACTTAATTCTGATCTATTAGGCATAATTATCATTATTATTAGTTATCGGTTGAAAAATAATCAAAGTATAAAAAGTGAATTGTTCAAATATTTCATTGTCGTTTATACTGACAACTATCTCACATATTTCATGAATGTCTCTTGAAATGCGCATTAAATTAGTTATTTTGAACCTATTAGAATAGATAAAAAAACAATGCAAATTAATTAATATTAGATATTAATTGAGGATGCATGATTTTAGTATTTTACGAACTTCAAACTAAAAGTCTAAAATTATATTTTTTAATTATTGGTAATCAAAAAGAACGTTATCCTTTGTATTCAGCCTTAGAATTAAATATTTACCTTTCAACATTTCCATCATACGAAATACACAAAATAAAAACAATTTATCAACTTTTTATCAAACGGACGCCAGAAATATTTATTATATAAATACTTTTTTTGTTAAAAACTATTTTTTACACACAACCTAGCGCTACGCGCCTCCCGCGCCACTACTTGACTTCTGGTACGTATCTGACACAAAAAGATCCTATATTACATAAAACAAATTAAAAATAAACTCTAAAATTTTCATCTAAAGTTCAATTTAGCTTGTATATTGAGCGAGAATTAAAATACAGCTCTTGCTTTGTGTTTACTTGAATATTTTAACTGAAAGTAACCTTATTTTTGTGAATTAAAGTTTCTTTTCGCTCGTAAGGTGTATGCATTACGACATTACAGACGCGTAAAGTGAAACGAGTTTATCAAGACGAAATATTCGCCTTTACAAAAATGTTTCATATTATATACTAAATATAATGAAGCTTATCAATGTCTGATGTATTGACTAATACTCCTTTGTTTAAATTCACATAGATTTTAGTATTTTCTATCTATTGGTTTTTTTGATACAAGTAACAAGATCATAACAAAGTATATAATATTACAAATTTGGAAGTTTAATTATCTATCTTCAATGTCTTTTTACAAATAGTTTTAAGTATTAAAACCTCATCCAACTCGAATTTCTTTACGAGTTTCGTCAACGGACAAACATATTATATAATAATGTATAACCTACTTTTTAAAGTCATTAATACAATTTTTAAGATGGACTCAACAAAATATGTAAACGATTGTAATGTAGAGAAATATATTTATTTAATTATTTTTTTGCATTTTTAATCCTCTTAATTATGACAGCACTATAACAGTGTTGTCATTTTTAATTTATACTATTTTTTTCTGTCTTCGTTCATTGTACATTATTTGAAATGCATAATTAGTTTTTACTTGCAGCTCCAACTCAAATTTTCTGCTTAATTTTTAAAAATACATATAGTCTTTTAATAACAGGTGTATAATCGATATGATAGTATTTTTAGTATCGCGTTATATTGAAACGAAGTGATTAAAATTATATATGATTTTAGTATAGCTACATGTGGTTTTAATGACAAAAATATGCTTCAAATGTATAAAAAATATATAATGAATATAATTTGGAGCATTGCTCGTTCTTAACCGATTATTTTTATATGTCACTAAAATATAAACATGAGCTAGCAACACCGTGTGACGGTCAAACCTGCCATCAAAAGTCACGCGAAGTAAAAAAAATATGTAAATTACCAACTGTTGTAAAATATTTTATGAAAAAACAAATAATCATTAAAAAAATTATTTTCGAAACAACCTAAAATGTGGTGTTGTGTACACGAATTTAGTGCAACATGTGATGTTTAAGTGATTTTTATATTGTTTGTTTTTTGTATACACGTAAAAAAATTTTAAGACTAAGGTTTCTTTTTTATATCGATTATAATAATAGCGTAGCTGTTATTACGCTCACATACTATTAAACAACCATGTTTTACCCCTCATTGTTTGTAAACAAAATAAACTTCTTAAAACTTTGTTATTGAAGTATCAAATCTAGAAAAACCATAATAAAAATGAATGAAGACATCACACCTGATGTGGACCCGTTAAGTACGTATTTAAGCTATCCTCTAACCAACTACTCCGCACCTCTTGAATACCAGAACTCTGTAAAACAGGAAAACTATGGATTCACCCTTTATGATAACACTCTCACTCAACAAGCACCTGTTGATAATGATAACGTAAATAACAGAATATCTGACGATAAAATAGATATATCAAATAGTAATAATGAACAAAACACAAATACAACACCGTTAGTCGATTTCAAACCATGTTTACCGAGGCGGAGAAAAATTAAGAAAGAAAAGAGTTCATACTTCTCCGAGAAGATCATGGATAAAAACTTCCCGTTCTATGGCTGTGCTGTTTGTAATATAAATTTTAAGACGCTCCAAGAATTAGATTCACATGTGCCTATACATAAAGACAGGATAACGAGCTACGATCTGAGAATAAAGAATCAGATTAAAAAAAAGAAGCTACAGAAAGAAATGAGGAAGAATAAGAAAGCGAAGAAGAATATTAAGAAGGAGTTCTCCATAGACGTTGATATCAAACCCGAGGATGGGTACATCGGTGATAAGAAAGCATCGGAATTCACAACGGAATCGGACAACCAGAGCTCGAAAGAAAACAACATTAATATGGAAAGTAATGAACAAAACCAGCATAACGGACCCACGAAGTTGAACACATCGGACAAAAATGACGAGGATATCGCAAAGAGACAGGAGAGAATGAATTTACAGAAGATATATAAATGCTTTGCATGCCAGAAGCAGTTCATGCTGAGTTACTACTTGAAGCTGCATGTACGATCGCATACAGGTAAGCATGTGCATTACATATGCATGCATGTATATATACTGTAAGGTCAGCGGTGAACTAGTGGTTAAGAGACCCACCCTCATACATGAGGGTGCCGGTTCGATCCTGGCGAGTACCAATGTGATTATTCCGAGTCATATGTACTTTATAAGAGTATTTAGACATCACTGATTAATGCTTTCCTAAAGAGGGTTGATGTCAGGCAGGCTGGCCATAAACTGGCCGGCCATAGACCGGCCGGTCATAAAAACAGTTAGCCAAAACTATTCACAACATGTAAGGCAGACCCTGGCTATAGCTGGGAAATATTTATAACTTTTATAAATTAGTTGTATATGAACTTAATATATAAAATGTATTAAGATTTTGAAAGACATATTAACATTATACTTTTATACTCAAATCTCAATAAGAATAAAAGTTTCCAAATAATATACTGTGCTATAATTATAATTAAATTTGCACATTAGTGTATGTTTTATAGCATTTATTCTGCAGATTAAGAATTTCCAATTCCCCTCAAACAAAAACACATTTCTCCTCTAAAATATATGTGAATAAAGACCTATCTATCATGAGCTTTTCAATCTCTTCTAGATGAGAAGCCCTATTCCTGCAGTCAGTGTGGCCAAGCCTTCATCACGGCGAGCAAACTCGGGAGGCACAACAAGAGGTATCACCTCGCAGTCAGACATCAATGCAGGATATGCTATAGGTTTTTCTCCAGGTAATGTTTATGTTTTACGTAGTCTCGATAGTTCAATTTATAACATGAGCAATATTCTAAAAGTCTCAGGTTCGATTACAGATTTTTTTTTGTATTTATTAATATATGTATGTAACTGTTGTTTGCTAATTAATTCTACTCGTAATTATGCCCATTTTTTGGACATTTTTTATAACATAAGTACATATAATGCGAGTAATTTTATGGTAACAAGAAAATTATTAAAAATATGCTTGAAAAAGACCAGAAATGAGCTTAGACAGTCAGAAAAAGTAATTGTATGCTTTGTCCCAAATTATTGGCGTAGTCCCAAATTATCCCCAAAATTTTCCTATACCTATTACTCTGGGAAGATAGTGCTACATTTTATCTGTCTTTAACAGTACCTTCCTTATTTCATGTCGGATGAAAGGATTTTTATCGTATAGTAATAAAAAAAACATAAAAACAGTTTTTTACAGTTTACAAGTACATTTGGGACCGTCATTTCTTTGCACCAATGTTCACTTCATCAAATGAGTCAGGATTTACGAAAAATTTTAATAATTTAAAATATAATGAAATCTAAGACTTTCGCGAGTATTCATTTAAATGAAACTAATATACACCATCGCTATTAATTTCTTTTTATGTAGCTACCAAAAATTTAACATAAATTTTTTTTACAAATTTAATTTATTTCATAAAAACATATTTTTTCACAGATTCGAATTCCTAACTCGTCATTTCGATAAAAAGCATCCGGACGATAAATTGGAGGGAGAACCGTATGGTAAGTAAATTAATTGGATTTGAACCGGTACTAAATGATATTTACCGCCGCTATAACCAATGAACCATCGTGTCTCCATACATTGTGTCAAAATTACTATATAATTGTATTAATTTATATTTTTTCACAAACTTTTTTATCTTAAATATTGCTATATTGTTCCAAATATGTATGAGATATTTAAATACACAAAAAATGCATACTTTACGTACTTTTAACTAATTAAAGTAATTTTCTCTATGTATAATATAATTTTTATATTATGCAGACTACAACGCCATCTTGCCGTATCTGAAAGAATTAGAAGCAGAATTAAAAGAGAAGACGGAATCAAAGAAAGAAGACAACACAGAAGAATCATGGTCCGAGCTCGTAGAAGACAATAAGGATTATATCATTAAAGAAGAATTACAAATTGAAGAGGTATTATATACATATATATTAAAATGTCTCTTAAAATGACTAGTTTGTATGAAAATCGCTAACGCTACCGCTTCCGCTTATTGAATGTTGTCGTGAGCTCATTCTTATAGTATATATATAATATTAAAAACAAGTTGAATTGATCCTACATATAATGTATTAAAGATGGCAATCTTTAATATGAGTTTCCAGTTACCTACACACGGACAATTTGATCGTTAATACATTCATTTAATATATTTGTATATAAAACTATATAATAGTAAAATTATAATAGATTTAGTTTAAAACATTTATTTATATGAGCTGGGTTTGAATCTGTGATTTGTGTATTACAGACGCTTTGCTAACTGAGCTATTACGTCCCCACATATTTTGATGATTTTTCATCAATTAATTAAGAAAAATGTTATTTTGCATGAAAAAATGATAGTTTAAAATGATTTTGTAACCGAAAAAAAGTATGGCGTTACATAATTTTGTGAATATTTATACTTATAGGTAAAAGTCGATATGGATGTCGAAATAAAGTTTGAAACCGAATTAGAGGAAGCCGAGGAAAAGGAGGGAGTAAAGGAGGAACTTCCGGGGGAGGAAGACTTGAAGGAGGAGGAGGAAGGGGGAAGGAGTCCGGGTGGAGGGGCGCAGGACGATAAGTGAGTATATCCTACTAATACTATTATTGCGAAAGTTTGTGAGTGTGTGTGTATGTTTGTTACTTCTTCACGCTCAAACGGCTGAACCGATTTTGGTAAAATTTTGTATGCATGAAGCTGACGTCCAGGAATAACACATAGGCTACTTTATATCCCTGAAATCCGCTTGTAACACCGCGAGGCGCAGCTAGTATTAGTCTAAGAGCCCGTGAACCCCAGACCTTCGTTATTTTATAAAAGCTGAAAGTTTGTCAGCGCATGCTCCCAACACAGGTAAGAACGAAGGTCCATTATGAAATTCGGGTTGTAGTGGCTTTGGCAGGTAAACGGTACTAAAGGTGTGTAAAATACTAATATAGTTTCGTCAAATTATACAGAGCGATTTTTTGGTATTACCTTTAGAATGTTATTAAAAATCACATTATTCATTACCAGACACTTAACATCGTGGTAACCCCTTGCCAGACACCCTTAATGTTCAGGGTATAATAATTCTACTTACGTTATAGTATAAAAGCTGATTTTTATACAGGATACTTGGGTAATGAGTAGATTAAAATTAATTCACATTTTTTCAATGTCTCTTCAGAAAATAATATTGTTTTTCCACTACTTTGGTTGCAAATAACACAAATTAATGTATCACCCATGATTTTTTTTCAATACAAATTCACTTTTATTTTAAAAGTCACATGAACAAATCGTAAACAAATAATCTACTTATCATACACTACGTATCATCCACTAATAATATTGAATTCACTTAATAGTTTTGATGTACTTTTTTTTTTTTTTTTTGATGACGTAGTGGAAACTCTTTTTACGAGCCGTCCAACCGACCTTGGTGGGGCCGGAAGGGATGTGTGAGGCTCGGCCTGGGCAGGCCCCTACTCACTAAAACCACTGCGAAAGCCATCGGCCGCTATGTCGGTGTACCCCGGATCTGTCAGCGACAGGGCACACCAGCGACTGGCCGGTCCTGGCAAAGACCGGGCTTACTCCCTCGGAGAATGGGGGCGATCCCGGCAATTAGGACCACCCCGACGACGCCGGGCTTTCAAAAGGGCCGGGTTACCACGCCGACCCCAGCCCGGAACACAGGGGTGCTATTGGAGGCGTAGGAATTGCCTCCGTCGCACCCCCCTACGTCGCCTGCGGGGGGAGGGAGCATCAGCCGCCCTCTCCCTTTCCCGCTGAGATGCCTCCTTCGTGGACATGACCGTCTCACAGAAGGAGGACACCGCCAACCAGGACCCATCACTCTCGAGCATCTTCTCCACGACACTCGAAAGCGACAGGTCCACTCCGCCGAGAGCCGCCACAAGGTCTTGGCGCTGCGCAGCCCATCTCGGGCACACCTCGAGGGTGTGCTGGGCCGAGTCCACCGCAGCGCCGCACTCATGGCAGCCTTCTCCCGGCTTATAATTAATAATGAATATTAAATTTATCTTTAAAAATAGCATATATTAATTTTACTGACATACGCATGTACAAAGTAGTAAACAATACAAGCGCATCTCACTCGCACTCACATATATATACTACCTCGCGCTCGTTTCTACAGCGACCCTACATACTTGTCTGGCAAGGGGTTGGAACTATCAAAAATGTCTGGCTATTGAGAAAATATCATCTACTCATTACCCAAGTATCCTGTATAAAAATCAGCTTTTATACTATAACGTAAGTAGAATTATTATACCCTGAACATTAAGGGTGTCTGGCAAGGGGTTACCACGATGTTAAGTGTCTGGTAATGAATAATGTGATTTTTAATAACATTCTAAAGGTAATACCAAAAAATCGCTCTGTATAATTTGACGAAACTATATTAGTATTTTACACACCTTTAGTACCGTTTACCTGCCAAAGCCACTACAACCCGAATTTCATAATGGACCTTCGTTCTTACCTGTGTTGGGAGCATGCGCTGACAAACTTTCAGCTTTTATAAAATAACGAAGGTCTGGGGTTCACGGGCTCTTGCTCTATATGTGTATATATTAAAAAACGTTTGATTGGAAATTGACTTGTATCATATATAGGGGGGAATTTAAAGGTTTTCCTACAATTTTATGCTTTTCCTGTAAGGAAATTCCAGATATATTCGGTTACTCACATTAACTCAATCTTGAAACGTAGTTATGGCGGTCCTAGTAGGTTCGCTTCAAATTAGGTAGTGACGAGCTTGTACGGTGGAGGTGAAAATTTAACACGTTAGATAGGGTCCCTTAAACCTACACCTGGGTCACAAGTCCCAGTCACTGTTGAAGCTCCTCTCACTACAACGATGGACCCGACACACGCATCGTGAATTCATGGAATGATGAGAGGTTTCGTATATATGATACGATATCAAGACGTACTTATCACCTACCCTCACATCACAAATTATCTAACCCACAGTTCCGACTCCGACTATTTCCCACCATCAACTTGGGCGGCGCCCCCGGCCTTCGCCCCCGGGCTCAGCTGCCACGTGTGCAACAAGACTTTCAGCACGCGGAGCTACATGCGAGTACACATGCGGACACACACCGGCGAGAGGCCTTACAAGTGTTACGTGTGTGGCGCGGGCTTTATAACGAGCAGCAAGATGAACAGGCACGTGCTGACACACCCGGGGACATGGGACGGTGAGAAAACTAGAAACTAGATGGATGTAGATGAAACTAGATGGATGTAGATTGAAACTAGACGGATGTAGATGAAACTAGGTGATGTAGATGATACTAGATGGATGTAGATGAAACTAGATGGATTTAGATTGGAACTATATGGATGTAGATGAAACTAGATGGGTGTAGATGGAACTATATGGATGTAGATGTAACTAGATGGGTGTAGATGAAACTAGATGGATATAGATTAAAACTTAAGATCGTCTATAGATGACATTCCTCGTAATTTTGTAATTTATTAGATAAAGTTTTACACTCATACATTTGTCTGAAGAAAAATACATATTTTGTTATTTGTATGAGATCAATTAACTATTGTATAATTTGTAGGGTAGAAATATAGTTACCACACCACACGGGTCAATTTAAAATGGCTGTAATATTATTTTCACAGAAGACGGAGTTAAACAAGAGAATAAAGAAGGAATGAAGACAGAAGAAGAAGATGACGTTAATGATAAGACGAAGTGAGTTTGAGACTTGTTTGTTATACTAAAAGTAGAAATCTGCTGGACGGATTTTGATGAAACTACATCATCATCATCAGAGATCACTGCTGAAAGGCTTCTCACGTGGAGAAGGTTTGAGCAATAATCACCACGCTTGCTTAACGGGTTGGTGAAGTCAAACTTATAATTTGATGAGTCCATGTTTTCTCATATTTTCCTTCATCTGCCAGTGATGTCTAAATACTCTTAAGTACATATGACTCGGAACAATCACATTGGTACTTGCCAGGATCGAACCCGTGACCTCATGCATGAGAGGCGGACTTTAACCACTAGGCCACCACTGACTTCTATCTATTTAATTATTGGGTATACAGCCACGGGCAAAAGTATTAGGCACCCTACAGTAAGACAAGTTTTAGGGTGTTTTGGCATAGCGAGTGTAAATAAAACTGCATTTATGATTACAATGGTTTATTTTAAGAAAATAATTAATATTTTGTAGGTCCACCTTTTGACTTAATAACCGCAGCCACTCTTTTTGGCATTGACTCTACCAGCCTGAAACATTCTTCTCTTGATATATTTTTCCATTCCTGCTGTAACGCGGCCAATAGAGCTTGTTTATTGCTAATCGAGTGCCTGCGGATGTTTTTCTTTAAAATGGACCAAATATGCTCAATCGGGTTGAGGTCTGGTGATTGTGGTGGCCAGTCCAAAAGATCAATATGATTTTCAGCAAACCACTTCATGGTGTGCGCGGACTTGTGGCAAGTGGCGTTGTCTTGCTGAAATTTCAGGCCATCGGTGTTTGTATCACCGAAAATTTGCGTTATCGACGTTGCTAGTGCTGTTTCCAGAACTTCAGTGTATTTAACACTATTCATTCGTCCCTCACACAACACCATTTCGCCCACTCCGTCGGCAGCCATGCAGCCCCAGATCATTATTGAGCCTCCACCATGCTTAACAGTGGGAACCACACATTCTGGGTTGTATTCTTCGCCAACCCTTCGCCTAACATAAGTCACACCGGGTGTTCCAAACACCTATGCCAAACGAAAAAAACACATTTATTTTCAAAGTTATTATTTTTCTTGCAGTACGTTATTTTAAAAACATTTATGTGTTTTAATATTGTACATAAAATAAATAACAATACCTCAAAGTTAGATTCGTCTGACCACAGTATGTTGGACCAATCTTCCACTGACCAATCTCTATGTTTGAGTGCCCACTCCAACCGATTTTTCTTATTGTGTTCTGACAGCCACGGCTTCTTCCTTGCTTTACATCCTTTTAATCCAGCTTTAAGAAGTCTTCTTCTCACAGTATAAACACTCACTGAGCTGCCTTTTGCCTCAGATAATGCTGCAGCGAGCTCTAAAGCAGTTTTTTTCCTGTTTTGTAGAGACTGCCTAATCAACAATCGATCTTCCCGTTCAGTAGTAACTTTTCTTCTGCCTGTTCTTGGTCTATTTTCATGGGTGCCAGTCTCTTTGAAGCGATCCATAGCATAGTGAACTGCACATCGCGAGCACTTCACTTCTCGGGCTATTTTAACCTGAGACATGCCTTGTTCATATAAAATCTTAATTCTTAGACGCTGTTCAGCACTAAGTTCAGATTTTTTCGGCATGATTAACACGTTAAATGTTAGTCTTTAAAATTGTGATAGGAATAGTTGCGTAGAAGACGTGTATGTTCACTGCAAGCACTGATAACACACTATAACCCGAAACGCAAAAAAAGCATATTCGAAGAAACACCGCTTAGGAGCACACCTGGATGTCATAAATATTTTCTTTTATCTTAATTTGGTTAAAAATTGCCGCTAATACAATAGCTAAACCATAAAACACAGACTTGACCGCAATATAATGAGATAGTGACTAACAATAGGGGTGCCTAATACTTTTGCACGCAGCTGTATTTCAGAGTAAAACTAAATTTATTTTATTTTCTACGTCCACTCAAATATTCAATTATCATAACTTTTTTGGATCACCTGGTACATTTCTTCTTCTGCCTGGCAATTTCCCAGCTTTAGCCAGGGTCTGCCTGGTATACTTCTACCCCAGCCTAACTATAAAGTCCACGAGTTATCTCCCTAACCAATATAACGAGCATTAAATATAATATTATAAGAGTTAAGACAGAATAACTACCAAAAATATTTTCATCTCTACTAATATTATAAATGCGAAAGTAACTCTGTCTGTCTGTCTGTTACGCTTTCACGCCTAAACCACTGAACTGATTTTAATGAAATTTGGTACAGACATAGAGTTGACCTTGAGAAAGAACATAGGATAGTTTTTATCCCAGACTTTTGAAAGGTTCTCTTGGAAAAGCGATATAACCGAACTCCACGCGGGCGAAGCTGCGGGCGGAAAGCTAGTACTTTATAAAACATATTCCATTGATTAAAAAATCGATTATTACATAGAAACTATATAATAATAATCGTTTATGTGATTCTATCCTTCCAGAGTGAAAATGAAAGCTGTTCTTGCGAAGTTCTCTAAGAAACAGAAAAATGGGGAGAAGAAGAGAAGCTCGCAGAAGAGACCGCACGCCTGCGAGTACTGTCAGAAGAGATTCTTACATTTAGAGACTTTGCAGGTGACTGAAACATATACAGGGTGACTGGTGAATTACTATCGATATTTGAGGACGTGATATTTGACGATCATATATGACAAAATAAAAATTAATATAACATAAATATTAATAAACTTCTAAGTAAAGTTAACCAAAAGTTGTGTAATTAATTACGCATCGTGTGAACACCCTACAGATTAGGTATACACTGACACTCACACATACGCGTGTCGTGACGTAGTGTTGTATCAGCACGTCGCCGCACGCGTCCACACTTGAACATTTGGAACGTGTCAACACTTTACTTATTATTACGGAAATTTTGTCAAAAATTAAGTGCCTATTTTTTTTACATAATTCGAATGAGAATCATGTACCGAGTATTCTCCTTAAATATTGATAGTAATTCACCAGTCACCCTGTATATATATATATATATATACTAACTGCGCCTCGCGCTGTTACCCGCGGATTTCCGGGATGTAAAGTAGCCTATGTGCTATTCCTGGACGTCAGCTTCCTGTATACAAAATGTTATCAAAATTGCTTCAGACGTTTGAGCGTAAAGTAGTAACAAACATTCGCAATTATAATACTAGTAGGATAAATGGGAGATTTTATCATGGTTTCTATCATCTTAGCATGATTTGTATGTTTGTGTATGTACGGACTTATTTTAAACATGTTCAATCCAATTTAAGAGTAGTTTTCATTATTCTATCAATACATTAAAAAATCTCAATGTTTTTAATGAAATCAAGAGTCGAGCTAATATTAGACTTAATGACTGAATACAAACATCATTAAACTGAGTTTGATAACAATTAACAAAGAAACTTTTATGAGAAAAAAAGTATTTTATCAGATAAAAGTATTTTATTAACATGATTATGAACACCCACACAACACACCACGATTTTTTACAAAATATTAAATAATATTATAGTAAAACATGTACATTTTAATAGTAATTTAATTTAGTTAGATTAAGGTGTCGTTGTTATAAAACTTTTTAGACAATGCTGTGAATACCTGTAATAGGTGTACATATAACCTATACTTTTGACTGTATTTTTTTATTTAAATGTTGCTTATGTGTACTAAATAAAAATAAAATAAAACACCCTGTATTTTATAGGTACACAAGAAGTCCCATTCCGGTGAAACTCTTCGTCACGAGTGTCACTATTGTCTGACTGAGTTGGAAGATGCCGCCGCGCTTAGGGTACACGAACAGGGACACGAAGGTACACAAGGGACGGAAGGGACACCCGCCAGGCCGTACCTGTGTACTATATGTGGAAATACTTATCAAAAGAGAGAGAGTATGGTGAGATATATATTTGTTATAATATTTTGTGAAACAAATTACACACACACACTACTCTGCCACTGCACCGAGAGTGATGTATAAATAAATTAAAATTATATTTGATATTTACAAATATTTTCTACTATTGATACTAATATAGATTTATATTTAAAAAAATGTAAATAAAATTAATCACTAGGTAACTTAAATTAATTATCTTACTATTATATATACATTATAATCACAAATTAAAAATAGTTTTTGAATTAGTTGTTAATGTATAGTATTTTTCTCTTTTTTTATATATTGTTCTCGGTACATTTTCAGTGTTAATTCTCAATGTTCGTTACTTCCAGTCATGTAACAGAATGTGTGTGTCCAGTATGTATAGTTTACAGACACGAGTTGATGCTCATGTTGATACATTACAATGGTTCAGTATTATCATTCATTATAATCACTCATCATGATAATTGGAAGGATTATAGTATTAGTATAACAGATGGCGCTACTTGTGATATAACTTTATATGGTCCATTAATCCCCTACCTCCTCTTTCAGATATATCACCGTAAGTCCCACACTTCCCCCAAGTCGTTCCAGTGCACTCTCTGCCCCGCGCGTTTCTCCGCGGCCTGTAAACTCTCCCGACACTCTCTGTCTCACCGCGCGGCGCGCTACACTCTCCGCTACGAGTGTCCGGTGTGCGCGAACATGTTCAACACGAAATATCACATACAGATGCATCTTACTACTCACCAGAAGGAAGGGCTGTAAGTAGAACTATATATATATATATATATATATATATATATATATATATATATATATAATTAGTAGACATATAGGAACTATATCGTCGGGGATAATGCAACTTATTAACTACCATTGGATGATTCCGCGTATCAAAATTACTTAGTTCAATTTATTACTAATTGTGAGAAAATTATCTTAAAAGTCATTAATATAGAAAATATTTTATCTTAAATTTTCTTCTGATAATCTGCTTCCAATGAAGATATGAGGAATTATCCAATGCTAGTTACATTGATTTGCACTATAAGAAAAACCTTATAATATCATCAGTCTATCGGAGTCACTGCTAAAAGGAATCTTCTTATATAGAGAAGATTAGAGCATTAATCACTACGCTATAGCTATGGCTTATATGTAAATGAAACTTATTTTATTCGTATACTACTCGTATTATTATTTTAACTACATACTACCAAGGTTTCGGTTGCTTTACAGCAACCGTGATCATTAAGACGAGATGTGAATGTCTGATACTAAAATACTCGTAGTAATACGATAATATTAGTTTCATTTAAATGAATACACGCGAAATTCTTAGATCTCATTAAGGTTTATACTGAGTCTCATGGAATAATCATATGTAGAATTAAAAAACTATTAAAATTTACAGTCGTCGTATAAAGACAATATTTTTTAATAACAAATCGAACTTCAACTAGAACAAACTAATTATTATCTTAAACCGAAACACCTTCAATAAGTTAAATTCAATAATTTACAAACACAAACCTTTATACTCCCGAACGCACCCGAAGTGACGTTAAAGAGATGACGTTTGATTTGTTCACTTTTACGAGGGAAAGTATTTGTAACACGACTTGTGTGTTTATAAATTGAATTTAACTTATATATACTGCACTAGCTTTTCGCCCGCGTGGAGTTCGGTTATATATCGTTTCCAAGAGAACTTTTCAAAAGTCCGGCATAAAAACTATCCTATGTTCTTTGTCAACTCTATCTCTGTACCAAATTTCATTAAAATCAGTGGATTTAGGCGTGGAAGCGAAACAGACAGTTACTTTCGCATTTATAATATTAATAGGGATATATATATATAATATAATACATATTAATAAATAATTATATATATTTCAGCATACAAGAGGAAAATAGAAACGAAATACTAGCTATGGTATTGCAGAACGCACGAAAGATACCGAAAACTCCAGAACTAGCTGCAAACGACGCGATTCAACCAGACGAGCGGAGCCGCGTGTGTAACATATGCGGGGAAGTGTTCCAGCACTTCTACTTCCTAGAAGAACATCTAAAAAGCCACGGCTCAAAGATAACCATTGATGATGCAGAGGAAACTAAAAAACATATATGTTCAATATGCAACAAAGGCTTCAAATTACATTACTATTTAAAACTACATAGCTTCACTCACACTAAAGAAAAGCCGTTCATATGTCAGCAATGTGGAAAAGGATTTATCACACGAGGAAAACTTAAAAGACATCTTGAAACTCACACCGGCTTGAAGAAATATCAGTGTCATATATGTTATAAATTCTTTACTCGACCAAGTTACTTGAGAATTCATGTGCGGACCATACATGGGACTCAAGATTATAATTTCAGATTGGAAAAGCAATACGGACTCACATCTCTTCCAGTTACCGAGCAGATTTGATATTATTAATTGAAATAATATATATATATGTATATTTGATAATATGTGATGCGGGTTATATGGTGTAATGATAGGTATATGTTAAAAATATATATATATGTATATAAGGTGACGGTCATCACTATTGTACTTATAATTCTGATTATCAGAATTTTAAATTTATCATGTAATTGTATAAGTATATTGTTTCAATGTATATGTAAATTTTTAAAAGTTTTTTTTATATAAAAATGTCAATTTAATAAGTAAATAATGAATTTGTTTATTATTTTAATAATGAAATGGTTAGTGTAAGCGATTTTACAAGATGGTTGTTGAGTTTTAGAAAGAATATAATAAATGACTCAGTTTTTAAGGTGTTTTTATTTGTGGAGACATCATCATCAGCCTATCAGAGACCACTGCTGAGCCTCTCCTCACATGGAGAAGGTTTGATCATTAATCACCACGCTCGCTCAAAACGGGTTGGTGATTTCAAACTTATAATTTGATATAAGTCCAAGTTTCCTCATATTTTCCTTCATCAGTCAGTGATGACTAAATACTCTTTTAAAGTACATATGACTAGTGACTCGGAACAATCACATTGGTACTTGCCAGGATCGAACCCGCGCCCTCATGTACAAGAGGTGGACCTTTAACCACTAGGCCACCATGACTATTTGTATATAATATATAAATACAATATTTACAATTTTAATATTTATTTTATGAAAATTATTTAAAAACTACAGAAATTATTAGTGAGTCCAGTCTCTTGAATGATTTTTCAACTATAACTAAAGAATATACTAGTTTTTTCTCCTGGCTTGACACGATTTTTCCTCCTAAATTAAATAGCTCTGCTGCCTAAATCCTGGAAGTTTATCAACATTGTTCCTGTGCAGAAGAAAAAAAACTAGTACATACATTTTGCTAATTATCGTCCAATTTCAATTACTTCTATAATTTGTTAGATTTTGTTCCGATTTTTTTAATGGAAATCTCATGGCATACCTATACTAGATATTGTAATTATTTATTGAATTTGATTGATAAAATCCTACTAATATTATAATTGCGAAAGTTTGTGAGTGTGTGTGTATGTTTGTTACTTCTTCACGCTCAAACGGCTGAAACGATTTTGCTAAAATTTTGTATACAGGAAGCTGACGTCCAGGAATAGCACATAGGCTACTTTACATCCCGGAAATCGGGTAACACCGCGGGGCGCAGCTAGTGTTTAATAATTTTTAATATTAATTTGTGAATTGACTCACTTGTGCAAATGTTAAGAAATTATACGAGGGAAGTTTTCAAAAACATCAGCCAATTGTTATAATGTGTTTAATACAACAGTCAGTTAATTCCCATCCTTTGGTCGGCGAAGACTTCATCAAGTGTGGTCTGAATTGTGTATATATTGTTTCAATGAGTGCTTATATTTTGTGAGTAATGTGTCTTTTGTATAATTTTCTAGCTATAATCATTTCACTAACTAAATTAATGACTGTCAATTAGTAAAATTTGATATAGTGGGGTGGTCTTGAAACTTAATTCATATAGGTGAATTGAATTAAAGCTAGTGATTAAAAGTTAATCAAATATCACAACAAAGATTATGACATAAGTATGGACTCGTATTGTTAATGTATATATGTAAATATATTTTCAGTCATAAACAAAAAATTAGGGTCATTGAGACACATATTTTACAAAGGAGAGTTACTAGCGGAAGCTCTACCAGTTAGCAGATAATTTACCTTTGCTCTGATAAATCCTTAAAATTAAATGTAATTGTGTAATACATAATTTTGTTCTATGAGATTGATTTGTTAATATATTGTGATAACTTCATTAATATTGAAGTAGTGTTAAAAGTTGAGTTCTTGTTTTGATTTTGTCTTTTTTGAAATCTTGATTCACGGCATTGTTCTTTTCAAAGTACCATCGTATAATATAGTTATAAAAATTACATTTGAGCAATCGTGGTTTGTATCATCATAATTTCAGCCGAAAGACGTCCACTGCGAACATAGGCCTCCCCCAAGGATCTCCACGACGACCGGTCTTGTGCCACCCGCACCCAGTGGATTCAAGCGACCTTCACCAGGTCGTCCGTCCACCTTGTTGGAAGCCTACCCACGCTGCGTCTTTCGGATCGTGGTCTCCACTCAAGAACCCGTTGGCCCCATCGGGCATCGGGCACTAACACTTAAGTGTTGGAATTCTTCGGGCTATGTCGGTGACTCCCGTTCGTCTGCGGATCTCCTCATTCCTGATTTGATCACGCAGTGAAACTCCGAGCATGGCCCTCACCATTCACCTTTGGGTGAGCTTTCTATATTTTTACATAAATAAAGGGTGATAACAATTGTGTGATTACTTATAATGAATGTTTCTGGTGGATTACTTTCCAATTTTCTTCATATCGAATACTGTGTAAGTTTATCCGTGATTATTATTCATTTTATTTTTGAAATACATACATTCCTTTTAATTCTTGTTGTTGAATATAACATGTGGAACGAAAAGCGCAAAAGTAAGAGTGATTTGAGAAACCATAGAATTCTCCCTCTCGCGTCATGAACGCGACTCCCATTGTAGGCTGCGTATAATTAATCTGTACGTATATTTTTTTCAGCTTCAAATATTAACTTAATTGGGTTATAATTCCAGTTTCTAATTTCTATACCAAAATCAATGATCTTGAAGTCTGGTGTGAGAAAGTTGACCACGCTGGAGTTAAATGAAAACAAACTAAAATTTCATCATCTTCCTTCGTTAAACATAAAATAAGTTTGAACTTATAAAAACGGTATATTTTTATGTTAATAATAGTTTTTTTATATAATAAAATTACAAAAAAATATGTATATACAAAATTAATGAAGTGATCATGTGGAAAAGTGAGCTATCGCTAGGATTTAATTTAATTAGAATTTTTTAACTTATGATAATTTTAAAATGGTACGTCGACGTACGTAATGGTAATGATGTAGGCTTAAACACAAAGTAATTTATTTTTATAAGACTTAATACTGTAATTATGAAAATAGCTTTCATATAAACGCCTCATGAATGGCAATTTATAAATAGTAAGTATGTTATCCTTAAGAGATAGAGATATGCCGTCCCGGACTTATCTGTAGACCTATATTACATACACAATTCCACATCTTCAACAAATATCGTTAATGTACACACAAATCGATATAAAACCTTAACAAATTATATATTAAAACCTTTCTCGAGAATCACGCTATCGAGTGGTGGAAACTGCTTGATAATCCATGCAGTACTTTTTCCGTTTTTCCCGAACAGACAGACAGACGCGACGAGGGACTTTGTTTTATAATATGTATGGATTTCCTTATTTTGAAACTCCAAAATTGTGTCAGATCAAGGTCGCATGTTCCAAAGTTTGGAATTTACAAAATCTGTAACATGCATGCATCATTCAAACGAGCAAAATGAATGCTACTGTTGCTTTGAAGGTACCAACAACAAATCAATGGTCGAATGATTTAAATGAAACTAATATTTTCGGATTTTACTACGCGTTTTTTTTTATTTTTATTACAAACTACATACTCCCGACATTTCGGCTTTTTATTTTATCAGATAAAATAACAAGACCAACTGGCCGACACTCACATCTCGTCCGAGTCCGTCACACAAAATCCGAAAATATTAGTTTCATTTAAATGAGTACTCGCGAAAATCTTAGATCTCATTAATGGTCGAATGACTTGTGGCGCTTGTAACTACTACTTAATATGACAAAGCAGACCAATTTGTTGTCTGGACCTACATTCGATATCGAAGCGACCACACATTATACGTAATCTTGTTCTAGAAATCGCTTCCGAAAACGCACATCCAAATAGTGACATAAACTTCCATGAATCTTTGAAATAATTCATTTTTTTTTATCCTAAAACAGGCTCGGGCAACTGGCAAGTTTCAGTCGGGAGTGGTTAAGCCGCTTCCTCGTGGTCGATATAAACTGCAGCTCTTGACGGCTTCATATGGAAAATCAATTCTGGCGACGGCAGGTTTCAAAGTACTTGGCGAGGTGAGTGAACTCCAGAAATTGTGTAATCATTTTGTTCTATAAGATTAATTTTTATATTTGTGATATATCTATTAATATTGAAGAAGTGTTAAATTTATATTGTGTACCTGTTTTGTTTCTGCCTTTTTTGTTAAGATTAAACCATTTGTTCTAAGAATATTCTATATCCAAGGTTCTAACGTTATTAAAACCAAAATTTTACTCCTAAACTGCAATGAACTCCTGAGTGAATGACAAGATGGATATAAGTGAATAGGTTGACTGGCATCTTCTGGCACACGCTACACATTGCTCTCGCAGCTTCTGTTTAGCCTTATTGGTGAACTTTCTATGTATATATTCCCTGGACTGATTGCTTGTATTTCTGAGTTTTTAATGGACCTTGCTCTATAAAAATATTATTACGTGGTGGTCATGTGGTGAACAGCAATCATTGTATCAAAATTTCAGAGGTTTTTCCTTTCCGCTGCCTCTATTTTTGATTTATTGAACCTTATCCTGCAGTTATAAATATACTCTCGACTTTTATAGTATATACGTTGAAGAACTATTTATTCTTTTTATATTAAACGGTCCCAGTTCCCTTCTTCATTCACAGCAAAGTACTGAAACAGTTGCCTGTAGTATCTTTCTCTTTTCCATAATTTGGAAGACTTCAAGGAAATAGTAGAATAGGGATTATATTATCAGGAAAAGAATTCTAATAGAAGTCGAGTTCTGTCCAATTGGTGATGAAATAAATATAATTTATGTAAATAAAACGTCAAAATTATGTCTCTTTTTTATTTGTGGGAACAACACTCTCGATAACACAGAAACAACAGCGCTTCAACAGAAAGAAGCAGTCACTGACTATAGCGAGGAAGAGGTCGCTCATATCACCGAGGACATCACACAATTTGTTGTTCTGGTCTCCGCCAACAGCTTTGAACAACTCCTTGAAGAACGACAACAGACTGTAGCAACAGTTACAACAGTTCGCCTTTAGACATTTCCTCAAATATTCGTAAGAGTCCTCCGGGCTTAAAGGTTTTTTCTTGTCTCGGCCTCTCTTCAAATATTCTTCGTCATCTTTTTCTTTCTTGTCCGATTTTTCAGCATTTTTTGAGAAGTATTTCTGAAATAAATCAATGTCTGGTTAAATAATATTTATATAAGAACTTCATCAATCTACAATGTGTCATTATTTTCGTTGAATCTTCTGGACTCGAATCCAGGTCCTCGGTAACTTCTGTATTTCAATATTTCTGCTAAGCCATGTTTATGAAATCATATTTCTATATTTTTATTCAACATATCAGACGACATAATTGATTTGATAGTCTCAATTAATATCATTTTACTTGTCTGTTTCAAAGAACCGCTGATAGGACTTCCTCTCATGTTAAAAGACCATTATTTTTGTTCCATTATACCCAAAATTATACATATATATATTAGTATCCAGAGATACTATTACATAAATAATGACCATTTAAGTTTACACAAAATAATTCCTTACTTTAAACTTCGTGTCCGCCATGTCTCTGGCTGGTCCCTTTCTATTTTTCACAACATCCCTGTATCTTTAGCTCACTTCAATAATTTACTCAAAACAACTAAATTTTCATCTCGACATCTGTGTCAATGTTCTATCAAAACTTGGGTTCTTAATATGTTAGAAATCATTTTAAGCCAGTTTGTATTTAACAGATTATATTATATACAATTAAATACCTATATATTGTTTTAAATATTATTTAGATTATTTTCTGCTCGTGTTAAAAATAAGAATTATTATAATTTATTGTTATCATAGATATAAATAATATAAAAATTAATTTTATTTAATTAATTTATTACAGTGAAACTTCTTATGCAACCTCCAAGAAGGTAGCGTTAAAGATTTAACGCTCCTTGGGAGAGGAATAAAAAGAGATAGAGCGAGAGGGAATGCGTGTCGCTCGGACGCATGCAATCAATAGTGTCTTGTAAAAAATGTTAATAAAGTTTTTCTTAAAGAAACAATAAAGATTACTTAAAAAACAATTTATTCTTCTTCCTATTTTTATTTCTACATAACGAAGTTTTATTTATGAGAGGAGGGATTCCACGCACTGTTTTTTTTTTTCTTAATAGTTTTCATTTCTTTAATGTTCAAGAGACGTTTATCACGTCGATTTTTTAAATTATTACATTTATTTATTTAAATTCAGGATTCAGGATCAGGTCAAATAAAACACTATATTACATAATAAAAATTTCAAACAGCATATATTGTAGAAATAAAAAAATACATGTTACAAATAAAAACTCTTTTTTTAAGCTAAAAAAAAAATCCTTACTCTATACGTGACGGAGGATAAAAAAACATCATTTTATAAACTAAAGTTTATTTTTTGATTAATAATAATAATGATTGAATATAAACACAGAAACAACTTGTCATTTTAGGGACTCTAGAATGTTCTAGGTAATGTCAAATCGTCTGTTTCCGGTCGCGTGACGTCACATCCGCTACACTTACATCTAGAACCTTCAAGCACGCTCGTGGAGGGTAGTCGCCAATAAATACAAAACACGCTCACGTCTCACAATACCTCATTTATATAATTAAATCTATACAGATTTACTGTCAAATCTGTATAGATTTTCAGTCAAATCTGTATAGATTTTCTGTCAAATCTCTATAGATTTTCAGTCAAATCTGTATAGATTTACTGTCAAATCTGTATAGATTTAATGTCAAATCTTGACAGATCCGATCCGCCAGAGCGCTGTCCGCGTGTATACATAAAATAAACTTCATAAATATCAACATCAAGAAGGCAAGTCACATGTAACGCTATCCAACAAATATATTTTTACGTCCAAATAAGCGATCCTCAAATGCGATTACTAAATACTTTTTTTTATATTAAATTGTTGTTTTTTTCTTTCAAAGCGAGATGGCAGTGTCGTGGTCGTGTTTTAACTGAAACAAATTAAGGAAAAATATTATTTTTCTATAGTAAGCATATTTTCGTGGAGAAATCGGAACATTTCGGAACATTTTAATGTTATGAAAATAATTTTTTTGTACTATATTTTTAAGTAAAGTTCTATTTTGGGGTGTATGATCTTTGCACTATATGAAAAATCACAATGTGTATACTATGTTTATTGTTTGTATGTCTGTCTGTTTGTTCCACCTCTAAGCTGGCTGCGGCGTGTTGGACTTCTCCTTTTTCTTTTCCTTCTTCTTCTTGAGGAAGGAGGGCGTCCGGAGGCCTTTCTTCTTCTTCTTGTCCTTCTTGGGAGAGTCTTCTGTGGACACCTCCTTGGAAGGAGAGCCCTGGGATAAGCAAAATTCAACACATTATTACTTTGTTGGAAAAAAATTGTGGAAAAGACTATAAATGCTATAAAAATGCAATTACTTTAATATTTTTTCTCTGCAAAATGTTTTTTTATTGAAATTTCATTTGAATTTAGCATTATTTACGTATATTCTTCTCTATAATCTTTTTTCGTCGTATATATCAAACGTGTAAATAACACAACTCACCTCTTTACTGCTGTGTGAGAAGGTGCTCTGGTGAGCGTCAGAGTGGTCGCCGTTCAATGTCTGTTCGCCTGACACACAATAATACATAAATATCATCATTTATATACATAAAAAGACAAAAAACAAATTATTGACATCAAATATATATCTTACAGTTAGTAGACTAACAGAATGCATGTTGAAACAGCGTGCAAAGAAAACAGAGGCGAGTGGAATGATTATTATCCGATTGCATTTGAAATTAATATCTAATCACGTCTTTCTATAGTTTAACTTGGCATTTTATATACAATTGATTATTATAGTTGAACGTATTCGGATATATTCGGCCATAGCTGGTCGTATTCGGCCATAGTTGAATTTATTCGGACATATTCGGCCATAGTCGGTATATTCATATGTATCGGATAATCAACATTTCCACTCTGAACAAACACATAACATCAAAGCCGTACTCACCTCCGCCCATCATCATTGATCTCCTCACACGGAACCAACCGAAAGCTTATCATGCAACGAACACACGGACAAACACAACAGTACTTTAATATAATGTTGTTGTCGTCCGGTAGAAGAGTTAAAGCAAAACAAATTAGTTAGAAAAATAGTTTATTAGTTAGTGATAGACAACACACATGCGACATACATAGCTATGTCAGGTTACTAGTAGCTTACATACAGCTTAAATAATTACTAAAGAATATAATAGAAATTAAAAAAGCAATACAATACCCAAATAAAAACCAGACTTAATATAAACCGGCTGTCAGAAACTGCCGCATCTTTTTTGCAGGTGACTCAAATCGAAACTCTCTGTGAGCCTGAATTTGGATATGATTCTATAGAACAAGGTATCATCGTACGGTGGCCAGGTCGAGTGGAGTATTTTGTTACCCCTGGATCTAGAATTGTAGATATATTTGTCGTCGATTGTGGAATCGAATCTGGAACTTTCGCAGGTGTTGTAATTTGAGGTGCTGGTTTCTGCTTCATCTGTACATCTGGAGCGTTTTTCAATAAAATCGGATTTTCTATCGTAATCCACAACTAGGAAGCTAGGTAGTTTGTTGTCTGAGAATTTCTTGTTGGATTTCGGTGAAGGTTTTTCGATAACTAAATTATCGTCGAAGGACAGCCAGTATTTGATGCCGCCGCTGTGCACTGTCTGGGACATTGATATCACGTTTATTTTCTTCACGAAGGGCGAGTCAGCGTCGCAGATGGATTCATTTATAGATCCTGTCCTTCTTATGGGCGACTCGGTACAAACCTCGAACACCTTCCTCAGAGGAGATGAAGATCTGTTATAGAAATCTGAATCCACGAACGCCGTGTTCATAACTTCGACATCAGCGACGAAACTTTCGCTCAAATCCTTTGGGTTTTCATATTTTTTTAGGGAATTCTCTAATAAATCGTCTATTATCTCTGAATGTATGTCCGTTTGGCTATAATACGTGAAGGACGCATCAGCATTTTCACTGATTAATGTAGAGTTAAGTGTCGCTTCATTACACACACTGTCACTGCAGTCATTCTGTCTGCTTTCATTTAAACCCATTCTACCATCATCTACAGGAACTTCATTTATATCTTTCAATCCAGAATTATCTTCTTTCTGTCCATCCGTGATAGAAGATTCATGTAGGTAGAGAATATTATCAGATGTCGTATATATAATGTCTTCACAATCCACAACAGTGACGACTCTCTTTTTGTTATCTTTCTTCTTATTTTTTCTATCACAACAATAAACAGCTCTGTCGAATATGAAGTAGACAACAGCTTCTACTATCCTCTGTGAATAATTCACTTCTGTTTCGCTACTCTCACTTAATTCTGTGTTACTATAGTTTAAATTCTTCTCATAATCCAGAACCATTTCCGTGATGGAGAAAGTAGCATTTTTATCTTCTTCATCTGTTTGTAAATCGATCGTTTCTTCGTGCGTCTCTTTGTCCTGTTTCTCGTTTATATGAATTTCAAATCTTTTCAATATAACACTCACTACATCAGCTATTAATTCGTATTTTTCAAACTCAACTGTTGAATCTAAGCTGAGAACAGTCAATGAACTTCCACCACTGAGAGAGCTTATTCTTTTCCCTTTCTTACTTTCTTCTTCAACAAGTGTTTTTTTATTTGTGTCATGATTTTCATTGCTTATAATACAACTTTCGTTTTGTGCTAAATCTTCTATTTTCATATCGTTTTCCAAATCTTTTCTATTATTCATTCCATTTGTATTTTCCTCTCCTTCTTTAAGCACTGTTTCATTATATATAATAGTCTTATTGCTATCACTGCATGAATCTGACGAGCTTTTAGATTCTTCTAGAATCGGTTCTAACACAGTCTGCACCGTATGTTCTAGTAACTTCTTCGGCGACTGTTTCCTTATATCATTTCTGTTATAGTCCTCACAATAAAAGTCTATTGGCACTGAATAGTCCCTTATGTCCTTTTCAACCAGCGCTTTAACCGGACTATCGTACACAGCGTGATCAAAGTCCATATCATCTATAAAACTGTGATAATCTCCTTCACCTGAGCCACCATCCTCATCTACTTTAACATAAACCGCTCTATATATATCGTCTTTATTTTCCTTTCCTTTATTCTTAAGTTCATCTAAATTTGTTTCTATTTTATCTACATTCGTAATTTTCTCAACAACTGTCTTATTATCTGAAGAAAAGCTATGTCCAATGTCCCCTAAATAATTATCCTCATTAAACTCTTGACTATCAACGAACTCATTATTGGACACTTTGAACACGGGTACAGTGTCCTCTTTGACTTTAACCTTTAAAGGCTTAAAATCTATTTCATTCGGACCTTTATTAGCTATATTATCGCACGAGAAATACCTCATAGTGTCACCCAAATACCTAGAATATGAATGTATGATGGTCCCGCAAGAATTACATTTGGGCAAATGATAATGATTCGGTTCCGGGTCCTTTATATACGAATTAATAAAACCGCTGTGAGAATTCGTTCTATATAGATTGCCGAATCTAGATATAGATCTATTTCTAGATGAATCTATTTTACATCGATCCAAATCTATAGATGGTATAGATAATAAACTTGACCGACTACCCACGCTATCAGAATTACACGACATATAGTTAGACATCGCTAGTTTATGATGAAGGCTGGTTTTACATTTGGGTATCGTGTTATATTTCTGTAGGGTGCTATCGAAATTTGGTGTCCGGGAGTATTTGTGCAGGGAGCGCTTGTTGGATGATAATGCTTCGTGTTTTCTAGATTCCCTTGAACCTGTTAGTAGATACAGTGGAATGTTAGGTGAGCTTATTAGGCAGACCCTGGCTAAAGTTGGGAAATTGCCAGGTAGAAGTTAGGTGGGCAGCATGAATGTTATTTAGATCAGATGTATGTATGTCGGTGACAAGATGCTATGGAAGAATGTGGAATATGATCAGGACATAACGAGCCTACACATAGAGACGATGTATCATGAAAGACGAAGACGAAACACAAATAACCATCACCAGACCTAGTCTGTCTAAAAACTCTTTAACTTGTTCGTTTCCTACCCTTTTATATATAAAATACAGAGGAAACAATCAGCTTAAGATTCTTATTTATAAAGGAATAGGTTACGCCCGCGATTTTGTCTGAGTGGATCTCAGAATCAAGTTTAGATACAAAATACTGATATACTTAAATAATATAGATAAAGTAATTGCATGGAATATTAACAATACAATACCCTATTTTGAAGCTGATTAGAAAGTTTCATGAAAATCCATTCAGTAATTTCTTGGAAGTACATCCTCAAAAACTATCGCTATTACATATTAATAGGTTAATTAGAAAAATCTCCACAATTTCTCTTTTTTTCACTCTTTCTCACTCTTTTCGTACCTTCTCTCTCTCACACACATCTATACATAACATTATCTGTTCTATATAACCTAACTACCCCCTCCTACGAATACCCCCCCCCTCTCACCTCTGGCGACACTGCTAATGCTACTCGTTGTTCTACTGACGATCACAATTTTCTTCGGTTCCGACGGCAAGAAGACCTCATCATCGGAAAGTAGGTAGGGGTCGCGGGTAGCTTAAGATTATACAAGTATAGAAATACCAGTATTATACAAGTATAGAAAACCAGCTAAGGCTCCAAACACAACAACGACTTATACGATGTATATTAGTAGAAGAAAAGTTAAGCTTAAAGATCAGTTAGAAAAACAATAATAATACATGCGAGTGCAGAAATAACATGCTTGAAATTACACAAAATATACCTACTTCATGTTTTTGTATGATTAAGATATCATCTATGTATGTAAAAAACGTCAAGTAGGTATGGTGCGTTTAATTTAAGCTGAGCTTTGCATTTGTGTGAGTGTACACGGATAGTGTAGGTGTGATGTCAAATTGTTAAATGCAATGTTCTTTTCTAGTTTTGAACCGGTTTATTCTGCTTTTACTCCGCCCCGCACCTTCCTCACTTCACCTTTTGTACTGATAGCAATATCAAATGTTGAAAACGCAATGTCAAGTGAAGAAGAATTTGTATAGTTTTTTCAACATTTTTATTAATTAATTAATTTTTTTCCATAATAATATTTCAATCTGGCCTTTTACAAGTCTTGTTATTTTTTATTTTTAATCTAGAATAGCTCTAGCCCTTATGTATCTATTTAAAATATAATAGAATTTAATTCTAAAAGTTTTTTGTCTAACTCTACTTTTATTTTCACTCACACAAATGCAAAGCTCATCTTAAGACTATATCTATATATACTAACCTCTGGTTCGATCGGCGTGGTCGCGTTCAGCGTTCAAGAAATCTGACGGGTCTAAGGACAAAGGACATGCTCACTAAACTATATAGATCAAACGGCTATAACTTAGCCGGCTAGACTTGAATAAATAATGAATCATGCCTCATACAAAACAAGATTCAAATGATTTTAACTACATTATTAATATGTCAAACGATTATTAAATGTTTCATGCTGACTAAAATCTATGTAAAAGCTCAAGAAAACTTCTTATATATGTGAATCTGAGTTTTTTGAGGGTAGTTAATTGTAGAACTTACCATCACTCAGAACAACTTCGGGCTGGCTCATCACGGGGACTTGCTTCGTCTCTATTCTCAGCACGCGTTGCTCTGAAAGTTACATCAGAAATGGTCTAACTTATCTTCTTATAATAATCATCATCATCATCAGCCTATCAGAGCTCACTCCTGAGCAAAGATCTTCTCACATGGAGAATGTTAGAGCATAAATCACCACGCTCGCTCAAGACGGGTTGGTGATTTCAAACTTATGATTTGATATTATAAGTCCATGTTTCCTCACGATATTTTCCTTCACAGTTTGTCAGTGATTTTTAAATACTCTTATAAAGTAAACATCACATTGGTACTCGCCAGGTCCCGAACCCGCGCCCTCATACACGAGAGGCGGGCCTTTAACCTCTATTCTATAACTTAAAACTGATTCAATTATACTATATTGAATAGAAATTCTTTTAACTGTGTTGTTGTCAATGTTTATCCCTATCTTATATATATATTTGTCTGTTGTAGTAGTCGTGAGTTACCTTCTCGCGACTCGTCCTCAGTGTCGGGGGCGGAGCGCTGCGGCGCGCTGAGAGCCTCCGACTCGGATATGTCCGTGTCGTCTGCACACAGGAATGATTATAGATTATATTATTAAAGATTATATTATAAAGTAAATCATGATTTTTCCACTCTTTTAGTCTTCTATATCAGAGTTTATTCAAAGATTTCTGATATTAATTATGACATTTTATTTTCCATATAACACTGACACTCTTCTCATCACTCTCCTACACACTCGCACACCTTCTCATCACTCTTTTATACAGTCACACCCTCCTGATCACCCTCCTATACTCTCACACCCTCCTGATCACCCTCCTATACCCTCGCACCCCTACACTCACACTCCTGTCCCCGCTGTTTCCTCTCCACCACCCGCTTGTACTCGTCTATATCGGTATCCGTGACGTGGTCGAATGGGTTCCTGGCGTACGGCGCGCTGTACATGGTCGCGTTGTGCTGATACCCTCGCTGTATGATGCCCTTCGACGCCGCTCCCATTAAGATCTAAAACAATATTACAGTTTGTATAACACACAGACAAATATTATGATCAACTAGCTGCGCCAGGCGGTGTTACCCGCGGATTTCCGGGATATAAAGTAGCCTATGTGTTATTCTTGAACGTCAGCTTCCTGTGTACAAAATTTTAACAAAATCGGTTCAGCCGTTTGAGCGTGAAGTAGTAACAAACATACACACACACTCACAAACTTTCGCAATTATAATATTAGTGGGATTAAGAATATTTATTATGTATATTGAAGCACAAGTGGCTAAGTATTTATTTATTTATCTCTTGGGATGTATAGTTTTGGTGAATCAGGAGTTTTGTACGATATTGAAGAGTTCAATAACATTTTATAGAATAATAATAGAGTAACGTTGTAGGAAATATAATAAGAGTTTTGACTAAATTGAAAAATGTTAAAAGTAACTATACTCAATATATAGATGGCAGTATACATATGTGTGTGTATATAATGTTATTTCTGTGTTTTGCAGCTATTTAGTTATTTACAAATTGTTCATTTATATAAAAACCGTCAATCAGATATTTCAATATATCTAAGACAATTTAAATGGGATCCATTAAATCTCACCGAGATAGTCTTTCCTGTGTCTGTGCGTGCCTGTATGTGTGTGTTTCTTTTTGTATGTATGTATATGTGTGTGTATATATAATATTATTTCTGTGTTTTTCAGCTTTGTAAGTTCCTTACAAATTGTTCATTTATATATAAACCTACAGTCAGACATTTGGAATATATCTAACACCTTGAATGGAATTCACCACATGGCATATAGATTTTCTCATCAGGGATTGTCTGTGTGTGTTTGTCTGTATGTACGTACAGTAGAAACTCTATTAACCGGACTAATTGTTGTCGATAGGCATTCGGATAATCGAATGTATGAACAAAAGGCGGTTTTGTGCTTATGTAGTACATAATATTACATGTTTATTTAAAAAATAAATAACAATATGTATTTGGTAATTTGCAATTGGTGATCATGAATTATAATAATAAATATAATTCGGTTTAGAATATTTGTTAATTGTCATTTGACGTACGTCACTCTCAACAACACCACTCTCTTACGCTTTACATTTTTTCTTGTCCGGACTTGTCCGTAGTCCGGATAATCGCGAATCGGTATAACTGAGGGCCGGATAATCGAGTCTACTGTATATATGTCTGTCTGTCTGCCTGTATTAGTGTGGGAATCTGTCTGTATGTGTGTATGTCTGTCTATGTATGTATACCTGTCTGTCTGTATTAGTGTGGGAATCTCTCTGTCTGTCTGTCTGTGTATGTACTCACCACATGGTCCCCGGTGTGGGTGCCGGCCGCGTCCTCGGGCAGCAGGCGCGCCTCGTCCCTAGCGACTCCCTCCAGTATGTGTGACTGCGGCCCGGCGCTGATCTTGTCCGCGCGGCGGTTCTCTTTTATCTTTATATATATATTGATAATACCATCAACTAACAGATTGCACTTCTAAGTTCTTACAAGAACCCTATTATAGATCTTGATGTTTCCAAATAACTTTAGCTTTTGACATTATGACCTTTCATTATATACTAGGTTTTGTCCTCAACTTTTTGCGTTAGTTTCATAATTAGTAATGTATTTAACCGAGCGAACTCTGTTTCTCATTAAAGATAGCACATAAGATGATTTTGGATTTGATCAGCCTATTATTTTATATTTTTTAATGACATGAAAAGTATCCTATGTCCTTTTTATGTTCTAATCTATCTCTCCATCAATCTTCATCCAAACCCGTACAGCCGTTCTTGAGTTATATAATGTAACTAACACGACTTTCTTTTATATATAGATTATATATAGCCTATGTATATAATGTGTATATAATCATTATGTACTATTTAAGTCAATTATTACATATTTATAAGAGGTTGTTGTAACTCAAGGTACAGTATTAGAACCCACTCTGTATTATACCTAAATCAATGATTTAGTCAGGAATAAAAGATTAAGGATATATTATGATAAAAGATAAAGATATAATATCATATCTTTTTGCAATTTTTCTTTCTTTAGATACATCTCTTGATGTTTGTCCATAGGTAGTTTTTAATTTTGTCTTTTTTTATATATATAAAATCTTTAGATACTCATTTACCAAACCTATCTATATATATTTTGCTAAACCCTTTTTGATGAAACTCAATTGAAAACTGATAATAATTAACAAATAAAAAAATTTCTTCGTTTTGTTCATAAGTTCAATTATTATTGCATTAACTTGTCTTTATCTGTATAAATTTAGATTTTTTCAGTATTAATCATGTTTTAGACTATATATATATATATATTTTCTATTTTATTTCTCTGTATGTATGTCTGTCCGCGTGTTACCTGTTGCTGCAGCTGTTTGAACTCCTTTGGGTTCGTATTTTTAGGCACGAATTGTAGTGTGTCAATCTTGACCGGCGTCGAGTGTGCTGGCGAGCCGTCTTGCACCCACTGTGCAGGACAAAAGGAAATGTTAATGTTGCCAGATATTAGGGTTAGATTAGAGGTCATTATACAGAGACCCGGCCATCGAGCTTGTACAGGTAAAGTAACAGGAAAAAATATGTATTTATATATAGTCGAGGATAGTGCTAAACGAGGAACTAACATTGGATAATGTAGATATACATTGGAAGCAGATTATAAGAAAGTTTGAGATGAAATATTTTGTATATTAACGACTTTTTAGACCATTTTTTTCACAATTAGTAACTAATTGTGAAAAAATTGGCTTAAAAGTCGTTAATATAGACAATATTTCATCTTAAACTTTCTGATAATCTGCTTCCAATGTATGTATACATTATACAATGCTAGTTACGTAAATTCGCACTATCCTCGACTACATATATATATGTATATTATAATCCCATGCAAAGCGTTACAAGGAAGGCTATAACTGGCAACATTTCCTTCACTTTTGCCCTACACTGTACACTCTCGATGTTTGTGTCCGGGGAAAGGATTGTATTAAAAATTTGTTATTTGCTATGCGATAAGGTTAAAGGTTATATCCCCATATATATATTATATACCATGATTATATTATATATATATATATATATATATATATATATATATATATATATATATATATATATATATATATATATATATATATATATATATTCTTCTTCTTATGGCAATTTCCCAGCTATAGCCAAGGTCTGCCTTATATGTTGTGAATAGTTTTGGCTAATTGTTTTTACGACTGGCCGCCTGCCTGACATCAACCCTCTTTGGGAATGCATTAATCAGTGATGTCTAAATACTCCTAAAGTACATATGACTCAGAAAAATCACATTGGTACTTGCCAGGATCGAACCCGCGCCGTCATACATGAGAGGCGGGCCTTTTAACCACTAGGCCACCACTGACTTTAATATATATAATCAGGTATATAATATATAGAAAAAAGACCATGATAGGAAAGTAATATCAACAATAATTATTACCTCTTCATCCTTAGCACCCACCCACTGTAAAACACATCAATATTAGTCCACACAGCAAAAAACAACATTTTTAATATGAAAAACACAAAAAAAAACCATCTCAATGAAAGAAAGACGAAAACATACATGTTATATATTTAATTCAGAAAAAAATACAAGCGGATCCAGATTACTCAACTAGTATAGAAGCATATAGTAAGCTAAAAACGACAATATGTTTTTTGCGCGTACATAATTACACTAAGGGAATGTTCACAAATTTATATTTCCTATATTCATAGAAATAAAGTATTTTTTTTATATATTTAGATCTTAAATAACATGCACATATATTATTACATTTCTTTATATATTATAGATTTACTTTTTTGTTTACAAACAGTAATTATGTAATGAGTTAGTTGGTTAATATATATATTATAATGTTCTATTACTTTGATTGTTAAAAAGAAAATCTTCTATATATATATTTTTCAACACTATTATTCCATACTATATATATAGCTGAAGGTACAAACTGTATTTTAGGTATTAATTGTAACATAGATAGATGAACATAATTAGCTTTAGATCCAAAACTAATTACAGTCTGATACATACATATGTTGGCAGAACCTGGCTAAGGCTGGGAGATTGCCAGGAAGAATATATAAATTACTTCTTTATGTAAGAACATACTTTGCTTAAAGAAACATTATTATATGTTATTATAATATATATTGGAATGATATTAGTATTACTTATACACAAAAAAAAACTCTAATATACATATACAGGGTGACTGGTGAATTACTATCAATATTTAAGGAGAATACTCGGTACATGATTCTCATTCGAATTATGCAAAAAAAAAAGGTACTTAATTTTTGACAAAATTTCCGTATAAATAAATAAAGTGTGGACACGTTGCAAGTGTTCCAAGTGTGGACGCGTGCGGCGGCGTGCTGATACAACAACACGCCGCCGCGCGAGTGTCTGTGTATGTATACCTAATCTGTAGGGTGTTCACACGATGCGTAATTAATTACATAACTTTTGGTTAACTTTACTTAGAAGTTTATTAATATTTATGTTATATTAATTTTTATTTCGACATATATGATCGTCAAATATCACGTCCTCAAATATCGATAGTAATTCACCAGTCACCCTGTATATAAATTAAATTGAAACTAAACCAATCATATGTCAATATGAATCAGACTGTATGTAATCATTATTACAATTACAAAATCATATAAACTTGGACTCTAATATATAATGTATAGGGTACATAATGATGTTGGTGATTATACAGGGTGCTCGGAAAAGTATCTGACTGATTTTTTGACTGGGATTAATTCACTGGCTTGATGAGAGAAAGGATATATATATATATATATATATATATATATATATATATATATATATATGGGTCCTATGTATAAACGCCAATGTAGCAATTAAGCAACTTTTTTGTGCTTTAAACACTTCTTACTGTATTCTACAATATCCATTTAAAATATGTATTTGTTGGTAGAAAGAATTTGGTTTTATTGCAGAAAAAAGCATCAAAAACACACTTTTTAATATATATTATAAAAAAATATTTAAAAAAAAGGTTTATCAATCTTAAATGTCGTACATGTATGTCATACATAGTTGCTGTTCAATGTTTCACAGCATCAGTTGTATGTACAAGATACATTTAAATCCAACTTAAAACTCTACTGAATGATTATATTTGAACATTGGACTTTATATGTAGGAGCCATCATATATGTATATACAGTGCAACCTTAATATAACGTACCTCAATATAACGAATTCCTCGACTGAACGAATCTTTCGTAATCCCCTTGAATTGTCCATACGAGTCAATATAAAATATACCTCTACATTGCGAACATTCTTTTCGAACAACCTCTTTATAACGAATTTTCAACTATCAAGAAAAGTATTCATACCTCTAATTAACGAATTTTGTCAACCCAAAACCTTTATATAAAGTTCCCACCAATAATATAACTCTTAATCTTATATTGTAGGTAAGGTACTGTAAAGCGTGAAAGGTGTTCCTTATCGGGCGCAGAAAAGCGAAAAATCATTAATTATGCTGACCAAAATCCTAATGTTGAGGTAAATAAAACTATGTATTATTTTACCTTTTTATAACGAATTTTAGACCACCCTTACCTCAACATAACAAACCTCAGTTCAACGAATTACTTGATATTACGAATATTTTCTTGTTCCCCTCCGATTTGTTGTATCAAGTTTGCAATGTATATATATTAATCTATATATATTCTGTCCGAGCACCCTGTATACCCCATACTCTTTACTCGGCCTCCACTCGCAAGTACTCTACCTTTGTGATCCTCTTAGGGTCCGAAGTACCAGTCTCCAATAGTTCAACCTTCTGATACACGTTCGGTGAGTTCAGCCAGCGCGTACGTTCACCGGATTTACCGCCCTTCTTCCACAATCTGGAATGGTGGGTTATAATTTTAACAATGATACAGAGTATATACAGTAGAACATTATAAATCTAAAAAATGTTTTGTTCCCTTTTCTTAAAACACCAAAACCTATAATACTCGAAATCTCTGTAACTTGAATTTTGTGACATTTCCTTCGATATGTAGAAGTTGTTCAGTATATATATTGTAGATGTAGCCGAGGGGCAAGTGACATGTAAGTAGTTGTCAAGAGATCAGGTATCTCTTTTCGTATCTGATACATTAATCAATATTATATTTTTTATGTTTAAATCATTCATTTATAATAGACTAGCTTTCTGCCCGCAGCTTCGCCCGCGTTGTCTTCGGTTATATCACGTTTCCAAGAGAACCTTTCAAAAGTCTGGCATAAAAACTATCCTATGTTCTTTCTCAAGGTCAACTCTGTCTGAACCAAATTTCATTAAAATCAGTTCAGTGGTTTTGGCGTGAAAGCGTAACGGACAGACAGAGTTACTTTCGCATTTATAATATTAGTAGGGATTATGATTTCATTTCACGATAACTTAAAACCGAGATAATTGAAACTTATTAACATACAATCGTGTCTAGTTTTGTGTACATTCAATAATATTATAGTAAAATTGTATTGAATTTTATTTTTAAGAGTCAATTCTGTTCTTGTTTCTATCAGTAGATATATCCTACTAATATTATAATTGCGAAAGTTTGTGAGTGTGTGTGTATGTTTGTTACTTCTTCACGCTGAAACGGCTGGACCGATTTTGATAAAAAATTGTATACAGGAAGCTGACGTCCAGGAGTAACACATAGGCTACTTCACAACCCGGAAATCCGCGGGTATCCGTGGTGTGTGTATGTTTGTGTATATTCTCACCCCTGCTTGTACAGCTCCTCCTCTTCCAACAGATATCCCAGCGAGGACACGGCCGGCGGAACTTCCACGTCACTCTTCGGCTTGGGAACGTCATTCTATGGACATACATTAATATATTCAAGTGTGGTGGGCTACACTCCAATCTTATACTTGAATGAAGGCAATTATAATATATATGTAAATAAAAATTGAGAAAAATCCTTATATAACTATAGTTTTCTTTATACATATATATGTTATGGGCCAAGTATTCACAATGCCTAACCTAAATAAATTTTAAACTATTTAACATGTTTTATTATTGCTCTAGTCAATAATGAACTTCATTTCTTGTAATGCTCGGTCTATCAAAGTATAATCACATTGTAAACTCTTATCATAAATTATTCATGTGATAAAGGTTAACCTCTCATGCATGAGTTAGGTACAAAATCTGGCAAGTACCAATGTGATTTTTCCGAGTCAAACATTTCCGAGTCATATGTACTTTATAAGAGTATTTAAATACCACTGACTGATGAAGGAAAACATCGTGAGGATGTATGGACATGGACTTATATCAAATTATAAATTTGAAATCACCAACCCGTCTTGAGCAAGCGTGGTGATTAATGATAAAACCTTTTCCGTGTGAGGAGAGGCTTTTCAGCAGTGGGCTCTAATAGGCTCAGGGGCGGATCTACCTAAAGGGTTTTTTGGGCTGCAGCCCAGGGCCCCGCGAATACAGGGGGCCCCAAAACGAATCGATAACAAAATGCGATATTGTCAATAATAAAAACTATCTAGAATTAAAAAAAATCCGATAGTAAGGTTTGCAACATTACGATTCATTAACCCGTGTGCGCATCTGCGCATCATGCGTGTCAAAAGGAACGGGGATTTCCCAGTCGTTTGTTTTCAGTTAGTGTTTTTCGTGTATTGTCTTTGACTTCCCTCCGCTACTTGCACCAAGATTTTTTTGTTATTTTTGCGCACTTCTGCTATCGGAGACTATTTTGAGGAATACACTATTTCATTGTTAGAAATGTGTTAAGTGAGTGTGTTTAGTTTACCAAGTTGCAGATAACTTAAAACTTATGAGGACCGGACCTTTCTTTTAATTTACTAAAATTTAACGTATACAGCATAACTAGACTAACTGCTTTTAATAGGCAGCAGGTTAGTAGAAAGTATTATAAAACGTGACTTTTTTATTTTTATTTCATTTTCCAAAAGTAAATGAATCGAACTTGTTCGATATTTGATGATTGCAATTTGTGACTTGCTGTACTCATTACAAAGTAGGTATTAAAATTAACAGGTCTATCCAGTTCTTTGTATATTTTTACTCAAATATCTTATTTTACAATATGTCTGTTAGAAAATATAAGAGTGGAGCAGAAAAAAGAAAATTACAGTTTGTTAGAGAAAAATGCGCAATAATTTAAACTTTTTTTAAATCAGAACATATAAACGCGTTTGAAAAAATATAAATCCATTAAAAATCGTAATGAAAATATGTAAGATTTTGAAAACAAAAGTCTGAGTAAACCAAGGACTCAGTAAAAGTAAAGACGATTATGGATTTAAAAAAGAAGCCAAGCCTATGAGACCTACAGCAAAAAAATTAAATTTTTAATTTATTTGCAAGAAAAAATCTAGAACACGTATATCTAGAAGGGGTATGTAATATAATTGATTATTATCAAAATGACATTCATTTAAAATCTTACTTCAATCTACGACATAGTGTTATACTTCCTGCAGAGACATTTTTTGGCTAATATATTAAAAGAAACTTGTTGATGTTTTCCCAAATTGCTATACCATCCTAAAGATATTTTAACGATGCCCATATCTAGCTGTAAAGCGGTGCGCTCTTTCTCTAGGATGTCATATATAGAAAACAACTGCAGGACACAATGTCGAACTATCGACTTAATCTTATATCAATTCTTTCGATAAATTGCGATTTAACAAAGGACCTACAGTGCGATGACCAAATAAAAGAATTTGCAGCATAAAAATGCAGGAAGGTTGCTTTTTAATTTAAATAACATAACCATATATAACCTTTCAATTTATGTTGCAATAAATAATGTTTTAATAAATAAATAAAATCTACTTAACATATATATTACATTACATATACCTACATCACTACAGAATATACTTTCTTGTCAAAATGGCAATTATTTAAGTAATTAGGTAGGGCCACTAAGCAGTATTAGCCCAGGGTCCCAGAAATCCAAGATCCGCCCCTGGATAGGCTGATGATGTATAACTATTCTATGGGGCCGTAACATATATATATGTATATATACATGTTTGTCGCCCCGTCTCTGCCTGTGTGTGTATACCTTGACCAGCGGGTGTCTGTACACGTGGCCGGTCCTGTAGCCAGCGTTGTCCATCATCCTCATGAGAGCCTCGAACTCCTCCCCGCCGATGCGCCACTTGGATGAATCGGAGGGAGGCTTGCGGGACGACTCGTACATCTGGAACAATATTAACATGACCTTTTACTACTTGGTATATGAGAGAGAGATAGAAAGAGATAGAAAGAGATTCACACTTGTTTCTAATATTCTCTTACACGTTACACACGTATTACACAGAGGGGCCATCTTAAAATCAGTGCTGTGCAGCACAGCTTATACTGAGATGAACCCATTGCTACACTGTATTCTTTAAATTTAATTTTTTTCTTCTGTATAATCTCTGTAATGTATGTGTGAAGCAAATAAATGGTTTATTCATCATATTCGCTTCCGTCATCCATGTTCACCATCTCTCTCACTCTTTCATATATTGCTATTTCATTTACACATCTACCATTTCTTTCTTTTATCCCCATGTCCCTCTTTAGATTGCTAATACAATGTTCATTTCAATTGCTAATGACTAAAAGCATTATGTGGTCAAAGACTATAATATACTAGAAGACCCGGCGCACTTCGTATCGCTCTATAATCAAGAAATATTTGTTACGTTTTTTTATTTATATTTTTGGAATTTACCTATTAAAGCCATAAATCTCCGTGTTTTGAAGTGCGACAGAATTATTGACATGTTAGTTGGTTGTCAAATCTAATGTCAAAAAAAAAGGTTTGTATCAACAACTACTAATAAATTAAAAATTAATTATAAAACATTGTCCAGAGGACAAAATTGTGAATCTAAACCATTCCCAGATCCCCTTGAACACACAAAAAAAAATTTCATCAAAATCTGTCCAGTTGTTTGAGAGGAGTTCAGTGACATACACACTCACAGAAAAATTATATATAAAGATACATATATAATCTCAATGGAAGTTGTCATCTGTTCATCACGATCATACTTCTCCTTAGATATCTAACACTGTTCATTTCATGTACTAAGACTATATATACAGGGTGACTGGTGAATTACTATCGATATTTGAGGACGTGATATTTGACGATCATATATGACAAAATAAAAATTAATATAACATAAATATTAATAAACTTCTGAGTAAAGTTAAACAAAAGTTATGTAATTAATTACGCATCGTGTGAACACCCTACAGATTAGGTATACACACACACTCACACACGCGTGCTGATCCAACACTACGCCGCCGCACGCGTCCACGCTTGGAACACTTGGAACGTGTCAACACTTTATTTATTTATACGGAAATTTGGTCAAAAATTAAAGAACCTATTTTTTTTACATAATTCGAATGAGAATCATGTACCGAGTATTCTCCTTAAATATTGATAGTAATTCACCAGTCACCCTGTATATTGAGGGGCCAAGTTATACTGGTCACCAGTATCCACCAACCTGTCTCCTAGTATCCTCATCTATGACCAGTAAATCATCTTGAGGTATGGATGCCAGTCTTAGCTGAACGTCGCAGGCAGCTGTCAACATACGCGCGTGGTAGAAGGCTTCTTCCAGGGTCTCCCCGCAGCAGAGAGCTCCCCCACCAGCTAGTACTAGCACCTTGGAGTGAGGTCCTAGGGCGCGGACTAGCTTATCACGCTCGGAATTGTCCAAAACACCTGGAAAATATACATATACATATATAATACTATATAATAAACATAGTATGTATATTATTTGTATATGGAGAAGGTTAAAGCATTAAACACGACGGGTTTGTGATTTCAAACTTATAATTGGATTATAATTCCATGTTTGATATTTTCCTTCATCGGTCAGTGATGTCTTGATACTCTTAAGTACATATGACTGAGAAAAATCACATTGATACTTACCAGGTATCGAACCCGAACACGGAAAAGTCGGGCCCTTAACTACTAAGTCACCACTATTATGAGTATATGTATATATATTTGTTGCTTTTAAATATACTACTGGACATATTTCGATGAAACTATGTAGTGATATAATATGTAATACACTTGTGTATATATTTTTTTCGCAATTAGTAATCTAGTGTTTAATTTATTACTAATTATGATTAAATTACCTTAAAATTCATTAATATATAAAATATTTCAGCTCAAAATTTCTTCTGATAATCTGCTTCCAATGTAGTTACGCGGATTTGCACTATCCCCGACGATGTGTTACCATACACAGTGTGATCATATATAATAAACTAAGCAACCACTGACTATATTGCCAGATTACAACATAACATCTAAAATAGTGTATATACTATAATATCCCTACTAATATTATAAATGCGAAAGTAACTCTGTCTGTCTGTCTGTCTGTCTGTCTGTCTGCTACGCTTTCACGCCTAAACCACTGAACTGATTTTAATGAAATTCGGTACAGAGATAGAGTTGACCTTGAGAAAGAACATAGGATAGTTTTTATCCCAGACTTTTGAAAGGTTCTCTTGGAAACGCGATATAACCGAACTCCACGCGGCGAAGCTGCGGGCGGAAAGCTAGTACTATAATATTTTGTTAATAAGGTCTTAATAAAAAATCAACGCCGATAAGTAGCTGATGACATCTTGTTAATATATGCTAACACTTATCTTCTTCCTGGCAATTTCCCAGCTTTAGCAAGGGTCTAACACTTATATTCATATATCGTGTATATATCCCCCCCCACTCACCTGCGGGCACAGCGTGGTATGCCACGTCTCCTAGCAGCACAGCCTCTCCACACAGCGGCATAAGGCGCCGCTTACTAGCTGACACGGCCAGAGCAGCGGGAGAGCGGACGTGCAGCACGCAGCGTAGGTCCGGCCGGGCCGCGTGGACAGACGCGTGCAGGGAGAAGCCTGGAGAATAATTGATATATATGAGGAAGAACAAAGAATGTATGGAGAATGTTGTAGAATATTCTCGACGTTTAACGACAGCGCCATCTCGTGACGAGCGCACGAACTATTAGTTGTACGTTTACTAGAACACTCCTATTGTGAATGTTTGTAAACAAATAGACATATAAATGATAATGTTTTGGAATGTTCTGAAATATTCTAGTAATGAGATCGTTGTATTTAAAGTCCGGAAGGTAGATTTAAGATAGTCCTTTGAGAAACGACATTACCAGCAATTATAACAAATTGATTATTTATGTTTTCTATCTTATCATGTTTGATGTTATGTACCACTCTATATAATTATCAAACCCTACCTCGTAAAAATATAGCTAAATCTACAAGCTAACTACCAGTTATCCTGGAACCTCTGATTGCCATCACATTTCAATATATTAATCAAGTTATATGAATATGTATTCATTGTATCTTATATATTATTCGTTAATAAAATGTATTAATAAAATGTATTGGCCTAGTTCAGTAACAATTAATCTTTAGGAAATCTTGTATGGCCTCCGCGTGATAGGTTTAGTTTAGGCCTAGTGTGGAGACCAATAGTTAATTATTATAGTTACTGTTAACGTTTTTTCAAAAATAAATATATTATTATTATTATTATTCTACCTGTCAATTTCCCAGCTATAGCCAGGGTCTGCCTTACATGTTGTGAATAGTTTTGGTTATTTTTTTTTACGACCGGCCGCCTGCCTGACGTCAACCCTCTTTGGGAATATATTATTATTATTATTATATTATCTGTCATACCTTCAACATTAACAGGGAAGTTGGTAGTTCCCTGATCTTGAACCACGCCTTGCATGTCTAGCTTCACGAGCGAGCTGGCAGTCACCTCGTGAGGAAGTAGACCTCGTGGAGTCGTTAGAACTTGCTCTACAGCTGTATTCAGACGAGCTGTGATCTGACCGGATATACCACCTGGAAATATAACATATACATATAAAAGAAAGTCGTGTTAGTTACACTATTTATAACTTTAACGACTGTATGGGTTTGGATGAAGATTGGTTGAGAGATAAATTAGAACATAGAAATGACATAGGATACTTTACATATGATACAAAAATAAATAATAATTAGTTGATCAAATCCAAAATCTTCTTATCTATTGTCTTTCTTTAAGGGGGTCAGGGGACAGCTCAATCGTCAAAACATCTGAAATACCGGAAGATCGTAGATTCAAATCCCTATCACATGGATAAATTAATAAATTAATGAATAAAAATAATATACTTCCGTGTGATTAATTAATTATTAATTAAATTAATATAACGACCATTAATATGTTCATGATCCAATTAGCAGACTTAATAAAAACACTATATCTATCACATAATTAGTGATTAAGTATAGAAATATATGGATTAGGAAAAGTGCCAGGTGAAAGTAAGTTGGACATGTTATGTCATGATTAGGGTGACCATACATATTGGAAACGTAGGACGAAATGCAAGCATTTACTCTAAATATAGATAATAACTATTACTTTGGATGCTAGATTACTTTATCCCCAAAAAAAACTATTTTTTTTTTCATGAATGTCCTAATACCTTAGAAAACCATAGTAAACTGTCTTATTTCTCATACGTATAGGTCCTTTTATTTTTGGAAACCTTAGTAAAAAATGTCATTTCTCATGGGAAGTCTTACATTTTTAAAAGCCTTCTAAATAATGGTTCATTTCTCATTTATAGGTCCTATATCAGAATCATTTCTTTAAAAGTCTAAGTAAAAAAATGTCTTAAGCTCACCAAAATATTTTTATCTTTAAAATCCTTAGTAAGAAATAATTATTTGTCATGAAAATCTCTGTATCTTTGACAACTTTATTAAAATGTCTCATATAGGTCCTTATATCTCTGATAGCCTAACGAAAAACGGATAATTTTCATACATTTCCTTATATCTTCGATAGCCTTATTAAAAATGTCTTTTTTTCTCATTTATGTTCTAAAAACCTTAGTAAAAAATGTGTTTTTCTCATATATGTCCTAAAAACCTTAGTAAATATGTGTTTTTTCTCACATATATCCTGAAAACCTTTGTAAAAACTTGCTTCTTTCCTCGTGAATGTCTTAATATCTATGGAAGTCTTATCGCTACTCACTCTGGGTCCAGCCGAACAGATCCACCAGTCGGTACACAGCTGCCAGCTTACATCGGAGTATCTTCTCCCCTTTTTCATATCCAACGCCTTCGATGCCGCGGATATCGTTGATGGGTAACATACAACTTGGACCCTAGACACAAAAACACTATTAATGACCCAAATTAGTAGAAAATTTTCGTTTTAATATGAAACTATGCTAAATTGAGGAGTGATTTGAGCATCACATAGCAAATGACTTTCCTATATCAATAAACTCAGATTCTGGGCAAAAAATATCAATGTAAGACCAAAATTCATATAAAATTTAATAATGCTTTGGAATTAACGGTAAGAATATCCAATAGACAGGTACCCTATACCCTATATGTCATACTCTCGTATAGTATGTGTGTTTACGCGACATAGGGGCCGTTCAAGTATTACGTAAGCAGAATTATTACAATTATTTACCCCCCATCCGCCTTGTCAGCAAAAGTAAGCAAAGCTCTTACCCTCCATGCTTACGTAAACATTTTCAATTACCGTATTATTTTTTTTCATATAAATCCAATAAAAAAAATATAATTATATTTTTTATGGATCTTCTCGATGTTACGATTAAAATTTAAATAACTACCGATGACGTAATCATCACCTAGACTCCCCTACCCCCCATGACATCCAAAATCATCAAAGCATAGACGCCCCCCTTCCATAGTGTTTACGTAATACTTGGACAGCCCCATACTGTATGGTCAACTATATGTCGTACTCTCGTATAGTATCTGACTTCAAGCGACCTACTATATGTCAACTATATGTCATACCCTCATGAAGTGACGCGACCTACTATATGTCATACTCTCGTATAGTATATGTCGTCTATATGTCATACCCTCATGCTGCCAGCGCCCAGCCGTCCGCCGACCATCTCCCGGATCCTCTGCAGCAGCGGCGCGTCGTTCCCCTCGTGCGCCTGCTGGTCCAGCACCCGCTCCAGCTCCTCGCGGAACATCTTCGAAGACATGATCGCCTCCACGCGCTTCCTACGCTCCATCTCGCGGACATCCTGACATACATACACATATAAATATATAATGGCCTATGTAAATCTCCCAAATAAATAAATATAATTAGCTGAAACGACAAATATTGTTTTGCCATATAAAAATAGGGGTTGGTGATAAAAATTTTAGGTTGTATGTATTTTTAATGCTACATTATATAAAAACGAAAACATAAAAATTCATACAAAAAAAAATTATGGGTGAACAACCAATATGACTTATGGGTATGAAAAATAAATGTTTGCCGATTCTCAGACCTACTTAATATGCTCACAAAATTTCATTAAAATCGATCAAGCCGTTTCGGAGGAGTTCTCTATTTAACACCGCCACACGAGAATTTTATATATAAGATTTATCAAAATCTGTCCAGCCTTTAAGCGATTAGATGTAATATATAGATAGACAGAAAGATAAACATTTTATTTTATGTAAATATTATATATAATTTTATCGCGTTTAGTGAAAGTCACTAATTGGAAATAACAAATCGACATAAAAATTTTATTAATTAATATAAACATATATGTATGTATATATAAAACGATTTTTTTTATTTAAACGAATTTAAACTTATAATTGTGGAATTATAAAGTCCATGTTTCTTCATATTTTCCTTCATCAGTCAGTGATGTCTAAATATTCTTAAGTACATATGACTCGAAACAATCATATTGGTACTTGCCAGGATCGAACCCACGCTCTTATACACGAGAGGCGGACCTTTAACCACTAGGCCACCACTGACTTCTGTTTATATATATGTGTGTGTGATCTTAAACTTGACTCGTCACAGCTACCCGGGTTTCCACGAACGTAACATCTACATGTTAATTATAACTAATGAATACAGACATACATAATTAATCATATATTTAGTGATTCATAACTGTACACGGACGAATCGACCTATATATACATATAAGATAATTGCACCAGAATAAAAAAAATACATATAATAATATTCGTCTCTCCGTCTCTTTGTTCCGTGTTATCACTAAAACTGCTGGACCGATTTCAATTAAACTGTCACAATCGGATAGCTGAGGTGAAGGATAACTCAAACTTAATATTATTAACTTATAAACAATAATAATACGCGGGACAAGTCGCAGTCTCAACTAGTATATGTATATGTATATAAAAACAATATTTAATAAAAATTAATTACGTTTATAAACATGTTAAGTATATGAAATTAATTCTTACTATAACCAATGAATGAAAAAAAAGTTACAACTAATCAATTCAATACTACGACTATAAAAAAACACTATAAAAATAGTATAGAAGATAATTAAAACATTTTCCTTTACCATAATTTATATATACTATTTTTATTTAAAATGTATTAATAACTCGGGCGGATCCGCGGGACAAAGCTAGTATCGTAATATTTGTAATCGAATCAGATATCGTGTCCGCGTAACACATGAAGCGTGAAACAATCATAAATATTAAATAACGATGAAACTGTAGGTTTGCAGTTACTTTACTATTACTGACAGACTGACCGTATTGTTATTGTAGTTTGCAATACGGGTCGGTAAGTAAGTTCCTAAAATCGTAAGAAAAATCGTAAGAAATTTGCTTAAAAATTCCGAAATTTTCTTAAGAATTCCGAAATTTCCTCAAAAATCCTAAAAATCCGTAAAAAATCCAAATACTCCTTAAAAAGTCCGAAATTTCCTTAAAAAGTTCGAAATTTGCTTAAATATTCCGAAAACTGCTTATAAACTCCGAAATCTCCTTAGTAATTCCGAATTTCCTTTAAGAAGACCGATATATTAAAATTCCGCAATCGTCTTAAAAAGTCCGCAATCGCCTTACAAACTCCGCAATCCCCTTAACCAGTCAGTCCCTTCCCTATCCAGAGGTAACTCACCGCGTCGATGTCAGCCGGCCGCTGCCTCAGCCTCTCCTCCTCCTCAGCGCTGAGGGTCGCGTTTCCGTTGGGAAGCGTCTCTGTATCCGTATCCGCCATCTTGTTTTATTATCTGTCAACAATAATATTATCATTAATCATTAATCACACAAAATATTTTCAATACTTAATCACTTACAATATATAAAGTTTTTAAAATCGGAACTAATGTTTATAAAAATAAAAGATTTCTTTAAAAACATACAAACATATACAAATATAAAATATGCTTAATATATAACATATCAACGTCACAAATAACTTTTATAATCACCAAAGATTCCGTGTGAAAATTACCCGTCCCATTCGAAGTCTGTAAAATTAATTTTTATATGACAATGGCATAACTTTCACTAAAATTCTCTCGTAAGTCGTGTGAGTTCTGGAGATCATCGCTATACACAGACGGACAGACAATGCATTGCATAACAGACAGACAGACGAGCGTTGTGTAATAGCTTACATAAGCTGAGCTTAGCTTACACATCACTACTCTCGTGACACATAACACATAATACTGTACGGAGTCACGTGCAGAAGCTGTATATACTATATACTTATATCTATTTTTTTATCATCCTATCAGAGCACACTGCTGAGCAAAGGCCTCTTCCTCACATGGAGAAGGTTTGAGCATTAATCACCACGCTTGCTCAAGACGGGTTGGTGATTTCATATAATTGTGAAATTATAAGTCCATGTTTCCTCATATTTTCCTTCATCTGTCAGTGATGTCTAAATACTCTTATAAAGTACATATGACTCGGAAAAATCACTTTGGTACTTGCCAGGATCGAACCTGCGCCCTCATGCACGAGACGCGGCCCTTTTAACCACTAGGCAACCACTGACTATATATATCTTTATATATAAAAGAAAGTCGTGTTAGTTACACTATTTATAACTCAAGAACGACTGTACGGATATGGATGAAGATTGGCGGAGAGATAGATTAGAACATAGACAGGACATAGAATATTTAATACTGTTCGATGGAAAAAAAACAAATAATAAACTCCAATAACTGGTTATTTACTGCCTCTAGGTTGTAATATAGTTCACCCGGTCAGCTATACATATATTACTAATTTCGAAATTAACGTAGACGAAGTCGCGGACAAAAACTAGTATATATGTATATATATATATATATATATATAAACATTCTTTTATTTATCTCAATCACGTCCAAACTGCCAAAATCGCGTTAAAAAAACTAGGTTTTAATTACAATAAAAAACAACTCAAAACGATTTAATTTTACAAACACATGTCTAAATGTTTTTTCTACTTATCTCAGTAAATCATGAGCTATAATTTTCAACTTCAATCGGACATCGAACCCGCTATCAATTATTATCTTATCCCTACTAATATTATAAATGCGAAAGTAACTCTGTCTGTCTGTTACGCTGTCACGGCTAAACCACTGAACTGATTTTAATGAAATTTGGTACAGATGTAGAGTTGACCTTGAGAAAGAACATAGGATAGTTTTTATCCCAGACTTTTGAAAGGTTCTCTTGGAAACGCGACATAACAGAACTCCACGCGGGCGAAGCTGCGAGCGGAGAGCTAGTTTAATAACTAAACATAATTTTATACTTAATTGTATACTACGAATGAGGTGGAGTTTTGGTATGTGGGAGTATTGAATGGAAAAAATTATCTTGTTTTTGTTGTGATTCTTAAACGACTTACGAGGTTCATTGTTTTATTGAAACACCATCATTAATAATACAGCCGTTTGACGTGGTGAAGTCACGATATAAAAAATATATAAGCTACATTGAAATGTAAGATATACCGGGAAGAATGAATAGACAAAGAAAGTAAGTCTAAAATTGGTACGCATCAGATGAAACATAGAACTTTCCTAAGTAGAGCCTTTTTTTTTTCGGAGAGAAATTCGCTTACAGACTACCCACTGCCCTGGCTCGACAGTGGGACTTGTGTGGGGGTCGCCCAGAGCCCGATGTTGTTGGCCCTGGGAATACCCACTAAAACTCCCCGGCTTCCCTTCCTGCCCGTATTTGGGGGCGATTTGGGACCTGCTATGGCAATTCACCAATTCACCCCTGTTCCTAAGTAGAGCCTAGCTGTGGTCAAGTTACTACAGCTCGAACATGGTCTGTCTTAGGAAGTACCACCCTCTCACAGAAGATCGGCGTCAAGTAGTCTTTAATGGCTGCGTTTCTGATGAGTGAGAAAGATGGTTGCTCTTTCTCTTTCCCACAATTTCCTCTTAATCTTCCCAATCAAGATGGTCAAGCATCCGCAACATCCTTCCGCCAATTAGGTCGTCTGCTCGTTTTAATCTTATCTCATAAAAAAGATGACTTCTGTCATACAATCGTTAGAGAATCTAATTAGCGAGGTCATAGAATGAGGTCAGGATCTATTCCAGTGTTTATCGTGACCTAGGTAACCATGACCCATTAATGGTACCTTCATTCTGAATTATGGTATCCAATCTACTAAGGTCGAATAAGATAGACTAACTAAGAAAAGGATAAAATTAATAACTACATATGTATATACAAACTTAATAAGTGATAGTGGCTCTTAGACTATAGCAATTAATAAAAAGCTATCATAATAAAGTCTAAGACTTTCTCGAGTATTCATTTAAATGAAACTAATATTTTTCGTATACTTCGTGCATTTTATTATTTTAACTACATACTACAACGTTTCGGTTACTTTACAACCGTGATCATTAAGACGAGATGTGAATGTAACCGAAACGTCGGCAGTACGTAATTAAAAATAATAAAATACGCGTAGTATTTATAGTATATAGTAGTATAATATTAGTTTAATTAAAAAAACTATCAAATTAGTTTCATAACTAGAATGTACAGACACACATACAATCTCATAAACAAAGGCGACAAACATAAAACTAAAGAAATCTTCCAACAGGTCGACAAAAAATTATGTATATAAAAAATCAACTATGTATAAATGTACGTACATTTAAGTCATTACTCGTAACTCCTAAACTGACAAATCTGTATGTACGCGTGTCACTCACACGAGAGAGGAATCACAGCATTCAATGATCATTAGAGAGGCTCAGGGTTTGTACAACGAATAAAACAAAATAATAAAAAAATAACTTTGATCGTTTAACGTGATAGATAGGGTCCCTTAAACCTACACCTGGGTCACAAGTCCCAGGCACTGTTGAAGCTCCTCTCACTACAACGATGGACCCGACACACGCACCGTGAATACATGGAATGATGAGAGGTTTCGTCTCTCTATATATATTAAACCTACACCTGGGTCACAAGTCCCAGTCACTGTTGAAGCTCCTCTCACTACAACGATGGACCCGACACACGCACCGTGAATACATGGAATGATGAGAGGTTTCGTCTCTCTATATATATTAAACCTACACCTGGGTCACAAGTCCCAGGCACTGTTGAAGCTCCTCTCACTACAACGATGGACCCGACACACGCACCGTGAATACATGGAATGATGAGAGGTTTCGTCTCTCTATATATATTAAACCTACACCTGGGTCACAAGTCCCAGGCACTGTTGAAGCTCCTCTCACTACAACGATGGACCCGACACACGCACCGTGAATACATGGAATGATGAGAGGTTTCGTCTCTCTATATATATTAAACCTACACCTGGGTCACAAGTCCCAGTCACTGTTGAAGCTCCTCTCACTACAACGATGGACCCGACACACGCACCGTGAATACATGGAATGATGAGAGGTTTCGTCTCTCTATATATATTAAACCTACACCTGGGTCACAAGTCCCAGGCACTGTTGAAGCTCCTCTCACTACAACGATGGACCCGACACACGCACCGTGAATACATGGAATGATGAGAGGTTTCGTCTCTCTATATATATTAAACCTACACCTGGGTCACAAGTCCCAGTCACTGTTGAAGCTCCTCTCACTACAACGATGGACCCGACACACGCACCGTGAATACATGGAATGATGAGAGGTTTCGTCTCTCTATATATATTAAACCTACACCTGGGTCACAAGTCCCAGGCACTGTTGAAGCTCCTCTCACTACAACGATGGACCCGACACACGCACCGTGAATACATGGAATGATGAGAGGTTTCGTCTCTCTATATATATTAAACCTACACCTGGGTCACAAGTCCCAGTCACTGTTGAAGCTCCTCTCACTACAACGATGGACCTGGCACCCGCACCGTGAATACATGGAATGATGAGAGGTTTCGTCTCTCTATATATATTAAACCTACACCTGGGTCACAAGTCCCAGTCACTGTTGAAGCTCCTCTCACTACAACGATGGACCTGGCACCCGCACCGTGAATACATGGAATGATGAGAGGTTTCGTCTCTCTATATATATTAAACCTACACCTGGGTCACAAGTCCCAGTCACTGTTGAAGCTCCTCTCACTACAACGATGGACCTGGCACCCGCACCGTGAATACATGGAATGATGAGAGGTTTCGTCTCTCTATATATATTAAACCTACACCTGGGTCACAAGTCCCAGTCACTGTTGAAGCTCCTCTCACTACAACGATGGACCTGGCACCCGCACCGTGAATACATGGAATGATGAGAGGTTTCGTCTCTCTATATATATTAAACCTACACCTGGGTCACAAGTCCCAGTCACTGTTGAAGCTCCTCTCACTACAACGATGGACCTGGCACCCGCACCGTGAATACATGGAATGATGAGAGGTTTCGTCTCTCTATATATATTAAACCTACACCTGGGTCACAAGTCCCAGTCACTGTTGAAGCTCCTCTCACTACAACGATGGACCCGACACACGCACCGTGAATACATGGAATGATGAGAGGTTTCGTCTCTCTATATATATTAAACCTACACCTGGGTCACAAGTCCCAGTCACTGTTGAAGCTCCTCTCACTACAACGATGGACCCGACACACGCACCGTGAATACATGGAATGATGAGAGGTTTCGTCTATATATTTTTTATTACAATACAATTCATATATATTATATATTTGTATGTTTATATATAATCAATAAACTGTCTGTCTGTCAGCCCTAT